GCCGGTCGGGCTTGGGCGCAGGAGATGTCGTTCTGGCGCTGGAACTGGATGATTGCTGGGTGTCGCCAGCTTTGTTCATGTTCTCGAATTTCGCCAGGAGCGACGAGACTGGTTTCTAGTGCAGCGGTCAGTCAGGCTGTCCTTCCATGTCGCCGCGTCTACGGTACCGGGTGTCCGACGCCTCTAGTGGACGGCGCCCGGGTCCGAATCCGGGGAAGGGGCGCCTCCAGAGACGGGATAGACACTCACAAGGGATGAGCCATCAGGCCCATCTTTGCTAGCCGGAGGGTCCATGACGGCGGCGGTGGCAGAAGATCAACCGAAACGAGCGGCAGCAAGCTCGGGGTTGCTATGCCCATCCGTTTACTATCCACGACAGCCGGTGGACTCTTTTCATCAAACCGGGGGCCTAGGCGAACATGGACACGGGCGGAGACCGGAGACGGCGGGGATAACGAGCGTTGTGAAGCTGTCGCGAAGCGCGTTGGCTCTGGGGTCTGGATTGACACAGAGAAAAAATAAATCAAAATTCAGGTAAAAATGAAGGACAGTGGCAGACCGTTTGGCGCAGGAACCCAACTGAACCCTTTGAGTAATCGAGGTCCAACAGTCTGGGTCGGAGGGAACGAAGGGCGGCGTGGTTGGGAGAATGGAAGATGCGTCTGGGTTGCCTTGTGGGTTGCTCCTGGCCTGGCGCTGGCACCAGCTGGAGATGGATGACACTGGCACACAATTGGGTCTCCTCTGTCGTCCCTCAGGTCTTGCTGCAGTGTTCTGTTGCTCGGACGGTGCAGTGGGGGACCTGACTGATCTGAGGGAGGCACTTTTGGGGCTGTGTCCGGCTCGTGTTTGCAGGCTGTTTTGGAGATGACGATGCGCTGTGGACTCGCCCTTTTTGGGGGGCTGGGCCGGCTACGAACCGGCTGCCCTTTTGTTGGTCGAAGTGTCTGAAGGTCGAGACTTGATGCTGAAGATCAGCGGGGCCCAAGGGGTACTGCAATCGCAAACAGGGGCAGGTACCAAGTGGAAGGTACGTACCTTGGGTAGGTAGGTACTTAGGGTGGGTGCCTAGAGGTACCGTACCGTACCGTACCTCGTCCGGGCAGGACAAATCAACGGACTGCATAACACGCGACAACGGCAAATTGACAAGACACCGGTGAGTTTATAGGGCTGTAAACACCTATGAGGGACGATTGTTTACCATAAGGACGAATCAAAGGAAGAAATGATTCCAAGAAGTCTTGGTGTTTACGGCGATGTCATGGCTTTGGTGGTCTGGAATTTGTGTCCTTAGCGCCAAATAGGACCCCACTTTGGCAGTTCATCTAGCCAACATGGCCACGAAGTCCACCGACAGAAACAAATGGATGACATTCCAGTATCTCCATATCGTGTTGTGAAGAGTCTGCCTACCTAGGGTTGTTGGTCATCAACCTTACAATTCTTTGTTTCAGCCTTCCTTCTCCATTCGACAAACGAGGGACAGAAAGGAACGGGACGAAAATGGAAGCATTGCACCCACGGCGGGATCTAAAAGCAACGAACGGTTGGTAACAGATGCAGGTACCGCGAGTTTAGGTGGTTCTCGAGCAGCGTTCCCCTTGGTATCCAAAACATGACGGGTAGGTAAGGTACCTAGTCAGAGTCCCCTCAGGTCCATTCGATGTCTCCTCCTTTCCCCTTTTCGGTTCAAGGACGATGTAACGACGGAGCGGGAAATGGGTTTTGATGTTTGAATTAAAGGACTGCTAGCCCGTCTTCTCAATGCCTTCATTCCGCTATTTCAACTTGTTTCCGACTAGGCGTCTATTGAGTGTTCAACAAGCTGACTGCCCGACTTCCAAAGTATCCCATTCCACCCCTCAATAATTGTGCATACCCAATGATGGAGCCCCCTTCCCCCCAAGTCAGTTGACCATACAGGTGAAACTGCCAGCGGCCTAGACCAGCTTCTGATCAGAGTCTTAAACATAAACTTACTGAACAATTTGATTTTCATATGTTGCATAAAGTGTTCTCTGTAACTGAAACAGCATTTGGCCCCCCTTAGGAGCATCATATCTGCTTCCTACTACCATCTTTCGCTGATAGATATATACAAGTAAAAGCCAGTTGGACAGTGATAGAAGCCTGTGTATAGTGGCAGAAAAGCTTTGAGGTTAGTGCTAAAAGATACTGCTGGTACGAACACAGCCTAGAGGTGATAAGTTACTATCAATCTGAATGAACAATGCAACTTTTATTTCCTAGGCTACCGTTTTCGATCTCTAGCTAGCTTTCTCTCTTTCTAAGCTTCATGTCCTAAATCTTAGATGTTGTTTTTCTAATTTTCATTTTTATTTTAAATTCTTTTTGTTCTTTTTTCCTGTGAAGAATTCGGACACGGAGTTGGACTCCGAGGCTGCCCAAATCCAATACGTAACTATCTACCTATTGAAATCTCAATAGGATATCGGTATATATGCCTGGCGGACACCTTCGTTTTGGTCTTGAGAGGCGCGGACTTCTTCACCTAAGGAACATCAATCGACTCTGTTCTCTTCATGTCGCTCGCCATAGCTCCAACCACCCTTTTTGTTCCGCTTCGGCGGTCGCTGCTTGTTTTTTTTTTCTCCCTCTAAGGCATAGCAAGAAGCGAAGAGGTGAATTGGCTGGTAGGCTCAGTGCAGCTGTTGACATTGATGGCCGTGTTCATGGTCGAATTCTGCCTCGCCTTGGCGGTTGACAGGATATCTAACATGGCAAGTTAGTATAGTACCTTTCCAAGAGCAGGGCAGTGGTTGTTTGAAAGCCTAGCTAAATCAAAGACGATCCATGGGTAGTACCCGCGTGGGTTCACCTTCACTTCTCGGAGCGGATATCAAAAGTTGTTCCTAACTAACAAAGCAGAACAATGTGTAGAAACCTCCCTACGACGACAGGAAGAAAAGCGCAGTATATCTTGCACAAAGCCGTAGGCCTTCCATACCGTTCTAATCTGCGGGAGCCTCTAGATTAGGTTGGCAGGTAAAGCTTCATCATCTTGTCGACCTCCGAATGGCGCGTGCCGTCGTACATCGGAACATTAAAGTAGATGAATAGTAGCTACACAATATAGAGAAACGGACGACGAGGTACCTGGTAGCTGGCGACGACAGATCCTCTCTTATCGTGCAGGATGTAAACAAACCCCTAAATCGGGGTGGAACTGTGGGTCAACTGAGCGAGACGGGGAACCCGGCCGTACAAAGCGATCAATCGGGTTTGATCCCATGACTAAGTAGCAGACTTCTTTGAAAAGTTCCTTTACAAAAATTCACGGGCCATGACCGATACGTGACCGATTGTATGTGCAGAGAAAACGGTATCAAAATGTCGAGAATAAGGTAGCTTAGGAATTGAATGTTCTTGTCCGCTCGGACCAAGGTCTTGTGCACTTGCCTGCCGGATACCTAAGCGATGTTGCTTACCGGGGTCTTGCATCGTTCGATCAGGGTCTGTGCAGCTTGGCTTCTTGAGCATCGTATCACCCCATCGAGACAAAATCGACAACTCCAAGGGTCCAAACCAAGGAAGCGTCTTTGACTTAGATTGTACCTCTGATTCTTTTCTGAACTTCTCGAAAACTAGTCGCTTCAATCAACACCGATTGCGAAGAATACCGACAACATGAACACCGTAGGTTTCGCAGGCGCAACATCCACACTGGCATAGCAAACAAGACGCCAAGCTAACGTCATACCTCTTTCCCTCCGTCTAGGTCAAGTCTTTCTGGTGAGCGCACCATTCCACCGCAACACCACCACGCCGTCGCCGACATCAGGAAATCCTCATGACCGGCTAGCTAACCTGGACCCTTAACTCCACAGGCTCGGTTGGGGCTCTCTGTGCGTTGGTACGTTGCAAACCGTTTCACTCCGACAATAACACGATAACGAAGGGAAGAGAGGGAAACTAACGCTCTCCCGCAATTGCACAGGTGGCGCCGCCGCGTACTATTTCGCCAAGAAGGAGATCAATGCCTCGCGCCGTAACCAGCTCGAGGAACTGCGCCGCAAGAAGAGCATGGTTAGCTCGATGGAGCAATCGGAAAACCTTCAGTCCCAGTCCCTCTCTTCGTCAGCCACGGGCGGATCTGCCACCTACAACGGCTCTCCGGCACGGACGGACTCGGCCGGCTCACCCAGCATGGAATCTAGCAACGATCCGGCGCCGACGAGACATGCGCCTTCGACCGAGCGCGAAAGGGTATTCGAGAAAAGCAAGTACGAGGCTAGCGTCCCATATTCCAGCAGGAAGGGGGATCGATTCTCTTAAGTGGAAATCGCCACGGAACAGCAAAAAAGAGAGTAGAAGATATACACATGTATGATACGACAGCAAGGAAACTCTGGCCTGCCCCAAAAGTTAGACATGGGAATGCGGCTTGTTGGTTCTAATTCGACGTAGATGAAAGTCGCGGTTTCGATGTTGCTTAGCTGACTAGCTACAACTGGGCCTCGTTTCGTATGCTTGTTTTCCAGTGCAAGAGTCTTGAAATGGAATACCCAGGTTATCGGGAAAAGCTCTATGTTTTGCGTCCATGGATGCAGACACAAGTATAACCAGCGCGAGGCCGAATTCGTCCAGCGCGTCCAGTGACGCCACTGTTTACTGTGTGAAAGAGCACAAGCAGAGAGAGCTTTGACCACTTTGTGAGTCGTGCATAATTTTACAATATTTACCGTAACAGGCTTAGATGCATAATTTAATGCAAGGTTCTGCTGCAGATGAGGATGCTCTTGTCCAATCAGTGTCATCAATCGCGGCACCGAACCATGTTCCCTTAGTTTGCGTTTGCGGTTAGGTTTCTATTCATCAACTAAATCCATCTCACTTTCACCATTGCTGTCTCTACGCCGCGCGCTTGGACGCCTCACAATTTGTTTATATAACGACTTTCTCTTCACGACTCAGGATCGCAACACACATACGACACATCTTCAGACAATTAACTTCTCTTTTCCGACGCTCTCGCGATGGCATCGACGTCGGCAGAGCTGATCGTCGCCAAAGCGGCCCTCACAGGCGCCCTTTTTCGAGCAGACCCGCAGTCCTGTTCTCGCGACGAGATCGAGTCGACGCTCACGTTGCTGAACACGGCCACCGCCGAGTGCTCGCCCTCCAATGTCCAGGTTTGAACACACATGCTCAATGAACAGTACACCTCTTGTCTATAAGACCAATTGCTAAGTTGTGCGGCATATCTGTTTGCCCCGCGCCGTATGTTCAGAAATGCAAGCAATGGGCTCTCACCAACCTGGTTCCGTCCTCTATGCGGATCGCTCCCTTTTGCAAGTACCTGATCGCACTCGTCAAGTCGTATGGCCAGGGCCAGGCCAAGGATCTCACCGAGAGCGAGAAAAAGAAAGGCCGTGAGACGTCAGTCAAGCGCAAACGTCTCCATGCCCTCTACCTTCTCAACGACATCCTCTACCATGTCAAGTTCCGCAACCACGATGACAGCTTCGCTCCCAAGTTAGAACAGGCGCTTCTCGTTTTGGTCAGCAGCGCCTCTTCGTTCACCAACTGCCCGAAGCACATTCGCAAAATTCAAGACTTGATTTCACTATGGGAGGAAAAGGGTTACTTCTCAGAGGCTGTAATCAAGCAGCTACGGGTAGCCGTAGAAGACGGGCCATCATCGAATGCTTCTGTCCAGAACACTGCGCAGCCGGCTGCCACATCTACCAGCTCAATGCCCAAGCCCGTAAGAGCAGCTCCTTATATCATGCCAGCCATGCACGGCGATCCGTCCATACCATGGTACGACTTGCCGGCAGGCAACTGGATGCCCGTACTAGAACCAAACTCTACGAGGCCCATGAACCCCGACATGATTAAGCCTCTTGTGTTGCCCGCAGGACCGGCAGAGAAAACACTCATGCAGGCGGTTCAGAAACTGCTCGTCGATGTGGACAACATCTTCTCCAAGGATGCCGCGAACCTTGATGGACCTACACCTGAAATTGGGCAGATGGGAGAGATCATAGAGATCGATGAGATCACTGGCGAGGTCATCGGAGGTGAAACCTACTATGGCTGGTCTCGAAACTTTTGCGAGAAAATGAAGAAACGGAATCAGCGCGGAGCTTCGGGCAACGACAGCCGATCGCGGACTCGAGAAAGAACACGGTCATCGAGGTCGAGGTCGAGGTCGAGGTCGAGGTCGCGCTCATACAGCCCCAGTCGAAGTAGAGACTCGAGCCGGGGATCCGATGCTAGACCTGCTTTCAAACGCCAGCGGTTGTCAGAATCGCCAGAAAGAAGGTACCGGAGCCGGAGTAGATCAAGAAGTCAAAGTCGCAGCCGGAGCCGGAGCCGTGACAGGAGCCGTGACAGAAGTGCCCGTAGTCGTGGCTATGATTCACGCAGTCGCTCCAGGTCTCGCTCACGGGGTAGATACAGGTCTAGATCCAGATCAAGATCAACAAGTCGTCCAGGCTTCCGACAGAGGAGTCCAAGGTACGGTTCCCGTGGTCGAAGTCGCTCTGAGTCTCCTGCTAGACTTAGAGGAGGACAACATCAACAACCACCTTATCATGCTCCTCCACCGCTTACCGGCTTTCCCACGGGGATGCCGCCTCGCCCACCACAGCACCCGGGCGTCTTCGTACCGCCGCCGCCACCACCGCACAACCAACCAGTCGGTAATTTCCATCCGGTCCCGCCTCCCATCGGCTTTCCTGTTGCTGCCCCTCCTCTCCCAGGACAACCTCACCAACTCCCCAGCTTCCCAGTCCCGCCCCCTCCTCCCCCTCCGCAAAACTATCAAGGTCAATGGCCACCTCCGCCGCCCGGCCCGCCTCATCAATACTCTCAGCATCCTCAACATCCAACTCCTCCGCCGCACATCACCCCGTCGCCGCCGCCGAACTTCTTCCCACCCGGTGGCCCGATGGCTGTACCTCCTCACCCTCCCCCATTCGTTCCTTCTTCGGGCGGTGCTTGGCCGCCTCCGCCGTCGCCGCACTCGAATCAACCTCCCCATCATGCTCAGCATCAACAGCATCAGCAGCAGCAACCCCAGTATCATCAATCTCAACAGCACCAAGGTCGTGACTATCAAGGTTATTCCCAGCACCAGCCGCGCGATTATCAGCAGCACCAGCACCAGCAGGGACGTGAAGGAGACTATGGAGGAGGAAGCGGATCGGGTTACAGAGGTGGACGTGGGGGTGGAGGGGCCGGACGGGGTGATTACGGTCGAGGGGGGTATGGAGGGCAGCGTGGTGGTGCCCCGTGGGGTGGTGGTTGGGCGTGATTGAGTAAGTGAGCAAGCAGGTATCTTCTGCTGGGTTGGTTGGATCGATAGAATAGGGGTGGTCAAGGAAGGAAATGGTTATTGATGATGAACAGAGACCAACAGAATTATTCACTGTAGATGTGTTCTTATCGCGTGCTTGGGATCCTGAACGTGACTGAGCTTAAAGTGAGTGGTCAAGTATCACCGTGGCAGGAAGCAAGCGCCAGAGACCATTTGACATATCTCTTGACGAAGGGATATAGACTTCACCAAAAAAAGTTAAAAAAACAATTTTTTAAAAAAAAAAAAAATTTAAATTGAAAAAGATTTAATGAAAAAATAAAGAAAAAAAATTCAAGTACATACGACCATACCCACTGAAAAACTCGGGATCCCGTCTGCTCTCCTATAAATAAGCTAGTAAGGGTTAGATGCTGCCCTTGTATTTTCGCTAGGTAGACTACGGTCTATGCTGAATCTTGTCGCTTTTTATCCTCATACGCCTTGCGCCCCTCCTCCCTGAGCTTCTCATCATCTGGGCGAGACAATTCGACCTGAGGCAGCATGAAGAAGGCAATGACAAACGCCAGTGCGCAAAGAGCTGCCCCAGTCATGAATATGATGCGGAACCCCTTTCTATACGCGGGAATCAGGACACCACGGATTCTGTCGGCTTCGGCCTCGGAGACGGTCCTGAGATACATCTGTGGGTTACTTAAAAGAGTTTTGGATACGTCATGGTCGATGTCGAGAGACCCCAAAGATCCAGCCAGAACATTGTTGCTACCGACATATATGATTGTATTAGCACTCCAGGTATACACGACGCTACATGTAAGTAGGTATCAAGCTCACATGATTGTTCCACAAACGGCGAGGCCAATGGTGGCGCCAAGATTTCTGACGAAACTGCATGAACTGGTAAGCAAATGTCATGTTGGAGCCCGTGTACCTTGACTTACTTGCGGAATGAGGTGACGACAGCCATGTCACGTCTAGCCACGCCCGCCTGGACGGCAATCAAAGCACTTTTGAATGTTAGTAGAGTAACATGGTTAAGAATCGGGGACCAAGACACAAGCCAGACTAGGTAGACTCACGGCTGCAACGTGTTCCCAACGCCTACTCCGATGAGGATCGAGTACCCGATCTGCTTCCCAATCCCGGTAGTCTCATCCAGAGTTGACATCAAGCCCAAGCCAACGGCCCAGCAAACCCACCCGAAAAGGATGGACTCGCGGTAGCGACCGACCCAGTGGACCACAAGACCGGACAGAGTGCTGCTTGCCGTTTGGACCAACGTGACGGGCAGCAGCATGGCACCGGCCCTCGTTGCCGAGTACTGGTACACCAGCTGGTAGAAGGACGGGATGTAGTAGACTTGCACGACAAAGTTCCAACCGTTGATTGCCATGGTCATGCAAGCCCCGTTCACGATCTTGGACTTGAAGATGTGGACTGCCGAATGTCAGGAACTTGAAAACATGTCTGGTGGTTCAAGGTGAGAGGAAAGAAGAAGACCCACGGGGAACAAGAGGGTATCGTGGACCCTTCCATTGCCATAACACAAAGGCAACGCATGCCACAAAACCGGCAACCAGCGTCGCGATCACATGAGCTGACCCCCAGGGATATTCACCTCCACCCCAGGTGAGCCCCAACATCAGAACTATCGTGCCGGCCAAGGCCACCAAGATGCCGGTAAAATCCACTGCCTTGAGCTTCCTGCGAGGGTCGGTTAGCGCGATACATAGGTAACGCTACCTACCCTATCTCTCAGGAGAATAATAGGTAGGTACTCAACTTACACTTTCCAGTCACCCTGGACCTTCTTCAGTGGCATGAAGAACACCACGCCCAAAGTGGTAAGCACAGTCAGGGGCATGTTGATGCGGAAGATCCATCGCCACGAGTCCTCCGACTTGGACGACAGCGCACCGCCAATCACGGGGCCGATACCATTGGCAATAGCCACTACGGCACCCTTTTTTTTTTTATCATTATCATTATCAGATGCTGCGGTTTTGGACGGCCAAGAATAAGATAGACAGGTAGCTAACTTACGATAATGCCCTGGTACTTCCCCCTCTCCCTTAGCGGGACCACATCGCTCACAATCAGCTGGGCGACCGTCATCAGCCCGCCGCCGCCAATGCCAGTAAAGGCACGAAAGATGGTCAGCTGCAGCACGGACTGCGCCAGTGACGAGGCCAGGGATCCGAGGAAGAAGATGGCGAGGCCGGTGAGGAGCATGACTTTGCGCGACCAAATGTCCGACAGCCGCCCGTACAGCAGCTGGCCGACGGTTGAGGTTCTAGATCATCCACAGTGTCTGGTTAGCGCTATTTGGACGTGGATGTACTGGTAGATAGATAGGTAGGTTTGCGCGCGAAGGTCGAAGGAATCATCCTACATGAAGTAACCGTTGGCTATCCACGAGACCTGCGAGGTGGACCCCAGGGCGTTGCCGATGATGTACAAGCTGGTCGCGAGCGTGGTTTGGTCTATGAGTGCCAAAAGGTCGACGCCCGCGCAGGCGAGGAATATCTGCCATGGTCAGTCAGTCTGTGCTCTCGTTTCCGTTCATGTTTCAAGTGGTGTGCGACGGGGTATATGTAGGAACACTATACATACAGTGATGATGGTTCTCTTTGGGACATAGTTGGTCTGCTCATTGAACTCGTGGGCCTTGGTGTCGTCATTAGACGTTTTGCTCGTCACATTCATGGACTTCTCAGCTGACCCCAAGACCTCCTCGGGGGTGTTGGTTTCTTTGTCCATGTTCGATGCTGGTGGCAGGAATTGAAGATTCAGACGGCGCACAATTCTTGTCCCCCCTCCTTCAAATACCACGAAATGCCCACGAGTCCAGATTTGTTGTTGAGTAAGCCCCATATCGTTCGGGGCGAAATGTCAGGTCGCTACATCCCTCCTGCATAACTCTGTCCCACGCATCTCATCGCAAAGGGCTTGGCTTAGCTAATGACGAGCGTGTCCTTGATGGCCGATGTCCCTTATGGCCGGTGTCCCTTGATGGCCGATGTCCCTTGATGGCCCGGTGTCCCTTGATGTCCCCGAGATCAACATGGCCAAGAATAAGAAGAAGAAAATCGCGTATACAATTCGGTCGAGTTCCCCCCCCCTCTTTCCTCCCCCGATTTTGCTTCCCTGCCTAACCCTTTGAGAGCCTCGGTTACCGTTCTAGTTCCGGGTTGGCGTAGTAGACGGTGGATTCGACGTGATGACGCCGGAATAAGCTTATGCACGGCGCCGATCCACCCGCACTGCCGGACCTTGAGGGACGCAAAGTAAAGTAACGCAAACTAGCGCAAATCGGCGCGCTCAGTTTAATCTCACTCACTCAGCCTTTCTGCCCACTTCTGCCGTTCGAAGGCAGCCTCAGCCTACTGTGTAAGTACCTTGGAGAAAAGTGGGGATTGAGCGCAAACTACCGCAACCACTTCTTCCTTTCATCACCTCACCTTTTCCCTGGTAAAAGCTTTCCAAACTATTAATTATTACTCCCTGTGGGCACTATCAGAATGGTCTTGACAAGACGATTCTCGTGGTCTTTTTAGTTTTCTTATACGATGAAAGATGACTGAGCTGCAACCACAAAAGTCCTACTTTTTTCTCTCTTTTCTATAGGAAATTACTACCTTTCTAGCTGCATCTCAGCCATATTTCATCTTTTCAAAAATCTAAAAGCACCATGAGAATCACCACGTCGAGGCTATTCGATATGTTTGTTTGACTCATAACATCATATATACGGGTTAGTTCTGAAGGAAAGGAAAGGGAAAAGAGCTAATACAAACCTAAAACTTTTCCCTGTAAGGTGATTTTCTATAAAAGAATAATCGGATTTACAAAAGAAAAACATCTTTAGAATCGTCTCTTCAAGGCTAGCTTCAACATTATTTCTGAATTCTTAAATCCTTATTATCAAGTTTGAAAAAATCGAGTGTCCTTTTTGAGGTAGATACATCCTTAGGAACTAGGAGGAGATAGGAATAGAGGCGCTACTCTTGTGGAACAGTTGATTAAAAGCCAAGATCTAGGTACAAAGGCAGTTTCTCTACCCTATAGAATGTATTTTAGGTTACGTAGTCACAGCGAAGGCAAGGACGTGGTGGGAACCAAGAACAAGGAGGAAGAGCCGTCGGCATGTTCTGTTCGATCCCCGAAACAAGTGACGATCCCTTGGCCTGATATGTACGTACATATGCTCTCCAGCTCTGGATAGGTACTTCAGTACCTAGAGCAGTCGCCCCTATTATAAAAGCGTGTACCGCAGTTGTGTTGCAAAACCTTTCATTCTCATATACTCGTCAGATCAACAGCAAAGCTCTTCCACCATGGCAAATCCTTTGAACGTGTACAAGGGACCCGACTCCGTCCGGAGCTATTTCCACCCAGAGTCGTCACCGCCGCTGCCCCTGGTTGAGATACCCGACTGTCTCAACCCGTACCGCCGGGATGGCGTCCGCATATATGCAAAGATGATGTCGATGCATCCTGCAAATAACGTCAAATCGATGCCAGGTTGGTGAACCTGCCCGTCCTGATTCCTGTGCTACACGGCCGCCGTCGGATGGCGGGACTGACGAATCAACCCACATGCAACAGCTCTGAATCTTCTCGAGAATAGTGTGGAGAAGGGCAAGACGCAGACGGTTATCGAGTACAGCTCGGGGTCTACCGTGATTTCCATGTCGCTGATCGCCCGCGTCTTTCACGATCTTCACGATGTTCGAGCATACTTGAGCAACAAGACATCCCCGGCCAAGCTCCGGTTGATGCAGTTTTTCGGCCTCGACATGTACGGTGAAGTGCCAGTGATTCCTGCAACATGAACTTCGGTCTGAACTGACGCCGTGGGGCAGAACATTGTTTGGCGGTCCGTCGCAACCCGATCCTGATGACGAGCGGGGAGGCATCCGGGTTGCCGAGAGGCAAGCCAAGGAAGACGACTCCAAGATAAACCCGAATCAATATGACAATGACGACGTTGGTTTCCCCCAGAGAGACAAGGTTAAGGTCATACTACCGACGGCTGCTGACGCCGAGACATGGAATTAGAACTGGAAGGCGCACATTCGGTGGACGGGCCCGCAAATCCTCAGGCAGCTACCGGAGATCAACGTGCTATGCGCAGGAATGGGAACCTCAGGTAGGTACCTTACACTAGGCACGCTCAGTCATCTCCGGGACTGTACATCTAACGGGATATCGCAGGAACCATGACGGGGTTGGGAACGTACTTCAAGGATGCCAAGCTTACTGTGTACCGTGTCGGGTACGTATGTCCATGTCGCCCGAGTCGTCGAGGGGAGCGCGATCTGACCGCATCATGATTTACAGAGTATGCACCGCACCCGGCGACCGCGTTCCGGGCCCGCGCTCACATGCGCTCCTGGCCCCCGTACAATTCCCCTGGAAGTCAGCCGTGGACCACATAGAAGAGGTCGGCTCGCACGACTCCTTCTCGCTGTCTCTCAGCCTCTGCCGCGAGGGCCTCGTCTGCGGTCCGTCATCCGGCTTCAATCTCAAGGGCCTTTACCAGTTCATCGCCAGGCGCAAGGCCGACGGATCGCTCGCCGAGCTGGCGGGCGAGGACGGCGAGATTCATTGCGTCTTCCTGTGCTGTGATCTGCCGTATCAGTACATCAACGAGTACTTTGACAAGCTGGGAGCTGAGTACTTCCCCACAATCCATAACGAGGTAAGTTTATCACAAAGGTCTTCAGGGGGTGCGTGACAGGAAATTACCTAACCGAGTTTCTAGCACTTGACCAAGGTGGACCTTTACAGGTACGACGATAAATGGGAGAAGGAACCTGCCGATGCTCTCGACTTGTTCTTCACACAGGACGACGCCCTGGCAAGCGCGTTGGTGCCGATTACGTCCAAGGTAAAGCCCCAGCCTCAAACTTCCATCATCGACTTGCGGCAGCCGCTCGACTTCCACGACTTTCACCTCCCGGGCTCGGTCAATGTGCCTTTTGTCCATGAGGACACGCCTAGTCCCTTCTCTGAGCCGTACATTCTGGAGTCTCTCTGGAAGAGGCTGGAGGAGACATTCAAGGCGCCGAGCAAGGAGCTCCGAGATCTGCTTCGCGGCAGACGAATCTTGCTTCTTTGCTATGATGGGGATAGCGCGAGGGTGGCGACGAGTGTTCTCAGGGCCAAGGGACATGAGGCGGATAGTATCAAAGGTGGGTTTAAGGCGCTGAGAAGGTTGAGAGAGAAGTCGGACAGCGGTTTTCGTGCCAGAAACGATTCCGGCGTGGAGGTCATGGCGGTTCATCTTCCGAGTCCCATTCCTGTTGCTGCGCAGGTCGTTTAACCAAGAAAAGGGCATGGTCATGTGAAAGCTAGTCCAAGATTTGACGTACCAGAGACACGAGAAAAACATGGCTTTGCGCTTATTTCCCGCATTGCACCGGGCGCAGTTGGCTTTTTGATGACATTGTGTACCTAATCTTACGAATAAGTGGCGAGTTACCCAAAAAGGGGCTGAACGAATTTTCGAAGCCTGGGTTCATGGGGTTCGATGGGTCGAAGGCGGTAGATGCGTTGTGTGCCGGGGTCAGGGTTATGGCCAGGCCGATGAGGAAGGTCCCTTGATCGAACCATTAGACTGCCCGGTTTCACGCTGTCTTGCTTGATCTCAAGAGGGACAGCATCGTGACCCTTACCGAAGGACATGAAGACGGCGCATGGGAATGTGTTGCCGAGAATGGACTCGAGGATTCCGCCGACGTTCATCATTATGCCCCCCATGCTGTAGAAGATGCCGCTGGTAAAGGTAACCCTGTCAGCCATGTAGGATTATAATAATCAGACTTTTTAAATCGTCTCGTACAAAACGTGATAAGGTACAGCACCTTTCGTAGAGCGAATGAACGCGCGCAAGACCAATAGACAACTAAAGACCTCTGTCATCTCAAGCTATGGGTGATGAAGTTCGAGTAGCAAAACCAAGATAGACAAAGAGCCAGAGCCAAGAAAGCGATTAATAGTCGCTATACTCCTCCTCGTCCTCTTCGTCAATGTCCACATCCTCTTCATCCCATGCCTGGGGCTGCTGCCTATGACGAGTTCTTCCCCTCTCACCTTCCTCCCCAATTTCACCCTCGCCACCTTCTCCCTCTTCATCATCTTCCTCTTCGCTCTCATCCTCATTCTCGTCACCAAGTTCCTTATCCGTCCGGTAACCGTAGCCACCCTCGGTCTGATAGCCGCCATCGGTCTGGTAGCCCCCGTCAGTTCGGTAGCCGCCGTATCGATCCTCCTCTTCGTCGTCTTCGTCATCGTAGCCACGCTCGTCATCCTCGTCCTCATCTTCGTCCCCAAGAAGGTCGCCGTCACTAAAGTCGCCTTCTTCTTCTTCCTCTTCTTCGGAAAGACCTTCGAATTCTTCGTCTTCGTTGTCTTCGAAGATGTCTTGGAGGATCTTGGGGGCTTGGACTTCTTCTTCGCCTTCTTCCTCTTCTTCCTCGTCTTCACGATGATCTTGGCGATGTTGTGGTTCGGTGGTAGCGGTTTGACCCCCGCCCGCGGTGGCAGGTGATGGTTTCTTGGTGGTTGTGGGGGCGGTGGTATCAGCCCGGGCTGAGTCTACGCCGATACTCGCCAGTGCTGGATCAAGCAGTACTTCATCCACTTCTGTACCTGGAGCAGCAGCAGAAGCAACACCAGAAGGTCCCAGACCAGCGGCAGGATCAGCCGGGGCCCGCCTCCTCTCTCTCGGCTTAAGTCCAATCCCCAACAACAACGCCATCTTCTCCGCCTCGCGCTCCTCCACCTCTTTAAGGGGAATCCTAACTCTATAGTGCGTCTTCTTCTTCCTCTCCTCCCACCGATCACGTCCTTGCTTGAGGCCCGGCTTGATTTTATTTCTTCCCCGTAGCTGCTCGCACTCCTTCGCCGTGAGCTGCAGATCAGGCAGCGTGATGCCAATACTAGTTCCCGAGCCACCATCCCCTCCATCATTCGGCCCTTTGACGGCTTCCAACGTGCACCCGAAATCGTCGTCCGACAGCGTGCGGCCGAACCGGATGGCGAGCATCTTGCACTTCATGATGGCTTTCGCCACCGACCACAGCACGCGGTGGTAGAATCCCGATATCTCGGTGTCGCACTCGGGCCGCACCTCGGCATTTTCAAACAATCGACGGAGGAGAGGATCCGTGATGTCGCACACCTGCCAGACTTTTCCGTCGGTACTAAACGACTCGCCCGTGAACACGTGCGTCTCGCGCGATCGACGCTCTGATCCTCTTCCGAGATTGGCGCCCTCGCCGTAGCTGTTCCAGTACTTACCAAAGTTGGTGACGCCCAGCTCGGAACGGCGGACGGCCTTCCACTCACGGCCGACGGTGCCGATGCGGGTCTTGTGCAGCTTGAAGATCAAGGTCTGGTAAATGCGGTATTTGGGATCGGAGCGGGGGTCGAGGCCATATTTGACCAGCGCGTCGCGCCACGGTCCGCCCTTGAACTGGTAGCCCGCGTATTGCAGGCAGTGGCGCACCAGCGAGCCGCTTTTGGGCAAAGAGGCGAACTTGGAGCCTAGCCGGTTCCACATGCTGCGCCGTGTCCAGATCGGCCGCTCCTCCATTGCCGCCCACATTTCCTTCATGATAAGAGCGACCTGTGGGTCGGCCAGGTTGGGCTGGCGCCGGGGGGCGGACGGGACGGGATACTCGTCGTGCGCAATGAAGTAGCCGGCGGCCGGGACGCGGGAGGTCACGTTGACCACGCGCCGGAACTCGGCTTCAGAGTCGACATCGGAGTCGCCGCCGTCGTCGTCCGCTTGGCCAGCAGTGCCGGGGCTGATTTCTTTGGTGTACGGATTCTGGGCGTAACCGTATTGGAAGGGCAAGCTCATGGGGGTGAAGTTAGGAGGAGGGATCAGGTCGATGTTCTTCCCGGATTCGATACCCGGTTGGATGGCGAACTCCTTGAGCTTGGCGACATCGCCGGGCAGCACCTGGTCGACGAACCGGGACATGAAGGGGGAGTTGCCCATGGCGTACTGGAAGTCGGCGAGGCCGCGGTAGCGGTGCGTGTTGGTGATGACGCCGATGGGCTCAACGGTGTACTTCCTTACATTGTCACTGAGCTTTCGACGGAGAAGCCGAGGGGCGTCTAGCCGGTCTCGAGAGAAGACTTCTTCATTGGGGTTTGTTGTCGTGGACGTGTTGTTGTCGACAACGGGACCCTCGAAGGGATCATCAGTCCCACGTTTGCGCTTCCGCCCCGTACGCTTGGGAACCGTAACTTTGACAACAACATTGTGGGTGAGAGCATTGTGCGAGACAATCGGCCTCACTGTCGGGTCACTGTGTCGTAAATAAAGTGGAATGGACACTTGAGGGCTGGATGAATCAACAATCTGAGGATATTGTCAGTCTCAGCCTCAAGCTTCCACATGATATAGAAGAGAAATATATCCTACAGCCTCGAGTGAGTAGTGTGCAGGAAATGTGTTCATGGCCTTGTCCACATTTTTGATAATCATGGGATGCTCAAGCGCCCCCAATCTCCGAGCAGGCACTGGGCAGCTGGGTGCATGTTCTGTTTGGTCGTTGAGCTCGTCCATCATGTCATTCGGAGAAGCCGGTGATTGCGCATGAATTCTGGACATATGATTGAAGTTTGGTATTGCGACTGATAATTGCCCGTAAGCGCTGCAAGGATCACAGTGTTAGTGTCGTTGTCGCTTCATCAGCATCGTGGCCGTGATGTTGGACGGAGTCTGAATTGTTTTTTTGACGATGTCAATAAATGGAGTTGCACAGTGAGGATTATTGCAGGCAGGTTGAAATTGCATGGGTTTACGCGGCGAAATTGTTTTGCGAAGACAGTGCGCATGGTTGAGAAAGTACATGGTACCTCCAGCCACTCAAGATGAGTGACGGACTGGAACTTGAAGTCGGAACTGCTAGGTTGTTACAGTACTTATTTGCTCTTGCCTTTGTGCATGCCCTGCATAGGTGCCGGTTACTATGCCGTAACGCGGTTGTATTGATTAACATGATTCGCTCTTTCCTTTTAACCATCAAACGAGCCAGAGATATTCATTACCAACCAAACCTTAGTAGAAATACACAAAGACGCTCGTTGATTTATACCATCTGACCACAGAAACACTGAAGCAAGCAAATGAGGCTTGAAAAAGGAAGGACCTGTGGGGAGCACTGGAAATGGGCCCAAGACACCCTGCATGGCGCTAAATGAACGCCTGCAGTTCATTCGAGTGGAGATCATTGACACCTGTAATTACCAAGACTGGGGCTCGGGGCCACCTCCAAGCATAGACACATCGGTTAAGACTACCGCAGCAGAGGGGACCTGTTGTGCTTGATATCTATCGCTGTCCTAACAATTCCTTGGTTGTTTGATACGCAAATACAGATAGTGCAATAATAGCGTAGTCTACACAACTCTTGAATTGCCTGGTGACATCCGCTTCCACGGCACACCAGCAACGGAATAACATTTCAGCCTCGCCATCCCATTTCCATTCCCTGGACGTCCTTTCGCCCTGTTCGGGTGATCATCTCCAGCCCATCATAAGCGCGCCGGTGTATCTAGATCAGCTTCCCCTTGGGCGCTACTACTTCAGGGAATCTGTCCGGGCACTTTTTCGAAACCGAGCTACAACAGAGGAAAGAAAGTGCAGTGTTCTATTTGCCGTTTCAGCCTCGAGCCCTTCTTCACTCTGCATGTAATTGTCAAGGACATGGTAACAACAACCGTCCATTTTGGTTTTCAACTATACAGGTACCTACCTAGGTACGTACTATTAGACTTCCTTGAAGCTTCGTACAAGTCCCTTAGTAAAACCTGATTCAAGGTTCCGTCCGGGGTCTTTTTAGGCGATCATTACCTTCCCATTCATTTACTTTTGCGTCTGTCCACGACTTTGCTACGTCGGTACCTACCTTAGGTACCGTACCTTACCCTAGGAGCCTAGGTACCTCTAGTTGACAGCCACAACCTAAACACACCGCTCGGACCTCCAACAACCCGACATAGTGAACCTAACAAAGTTGGAAGCGAGTTAACGCAGCGGAGTGAGCAGCTCCAGCGTCCGAATCTCTCACACAGCTCGGCTTCGACTCCGCGTTGTACACCTCTCACCACCAACGAAGAGTGGAAGCGACAAGGGACCATTGGACAAACAGCCACATCACCTGGCACCTGGCACCCTCACACTCGGCTTTGGGTCCCGCGATTGCATCCCGTCCAGCCCCGCAGCAACATCCTGGCCTGGCTCATCTGGGCCTACACTCACTGGGCAGATCTACCACCCAGACTTCCACTTCTGGCTTGTTTAGCGGATTGGTGCTGGCGCTACCTGATTCTTTAACAGCACCCTACCTACTCTCAAGAGTCCCGTCTCGCACCCGACCTCCATCGAACCAGCAAGTTCGTCCCTCTCTCTGGCATTCGCTTCATTCCCCCCCCTCCCCCAAAGGTCCCAAAACACACACACTGGACTTGGACTGAAGCACCAATTCCCACTCCCATCCGGCAACGTCCCTACAGCAACACCTACCACCCGACGCCAGCACGCCCGCCGTCGACGAGACACCCTGCGCTTGTTGTCGTCACCTTGACTTGTCATCCGATCCCGCGCGGCTTTCATTCCGTTACTCCGCCAGTTCGCCGTGCGCCCTCAGAGCATTTCACCCTGCTACTGCTGCTGTAGCCGTTGCCTCTGCCACCATCGAGAGAGCGCGCTCCCCCGACTCCCGTCGCCGACACCCCTAGCATTAACCATCCTACCAAGGTTACCATTCAATCGGCCGTCGGGCATCCACAAAAAGTCGATTGACACGCCGTGGCCTCGCCATCATCCAACGCGGCGTCGTCCCCAATTATACTGCCAGCCACAGTCGGGCTTGTGGTCGGAAGTTTGCTCTGACGCACTGCACCCCTCCTCTTCGACATCCAGGCGGGACGTAGAGCTTTCGGTGAAGCAAGTCCGCGACCGGCCGCCCGTTGGCATCGCAGTCTGAAACCCGCGAGCTGTTCGGCACACATCCTAGCCTTTGGCTAGCCACCCCCTTTTCGTATACAGCTATCAGACTATCGCCGCGCCCTCATTACCCCTCCACCTTCAGGTCGGGCAGCCTTCACTCGCCCCACAGGCAGAGAAACTGTTGTCCTCAAAGATGAAGCGGTTCAGCCAGAGAGTCGTAAGTCAAGTCTAGGTGTTTTGTAAGCTGTCCCGTTGGAACGGATCGCTAATGCTACACCGTCGTGCTAGCTCTCGAGGACGAAGGACAAGGATTCCAAGTCCAAGAAGAATAAGGATGCGAAGGACGGAACAGCTTCCCCCAACTCACAAGGCTCTCGCGAGGCCACCCAGTCGCCCGTTCTCACCCCTTCATCGTCTACGTCGACACTTGTAAATGACAGCCGTAACAAGCCATTGCCGCCTAACAATGCGGCCCATGGCGACCACGGCAATTCCATGCTCGGCCCTCAGGGCGGCAACTCGAACCCTGGCGCAGCGGATAGATTCAGCAGTATCGGGGGGCAGCAACAGGGCGCCAACGGCGGCAGCACCCCTGTCCGTCACGGCACCCTTCCTCCTACCGTTATAATCAGCCCCAGCGCGCCGGTAAGAAGCTCCTTGGACTGCCGTACTTGGACCATGGAAATACTAACGATTGGTTGTCGTAGCATGTCCCACCTCCCGGCGCCGCGGAAACGATGCCGCACGATCTCGCTCCTCCAAAAGCCGGACAAAAGTCGCTTATGTTTGACCGTTTACACCAGACCCCCAAAGACGTCCTGGAAGGGCTCAGGACGCCAAAGAGGCAGAACTCGTCGCGGTTCGACATCTCAGCCCATCGCGAGCTCGAGAAGCTCCCGGGCTTCCATGAGGTGGCCCCCAATCACCGCCAGGATCTGTTCATGAAGAAGATCGAGCAGTGCAACGTCATCTTTGACTTCAATGATGCTAGCGCCGACATGAAGTCCAAGGAGATCAAGCGATTGGCCCTTCACGAGCTGCTGGATTATGTCGCTAATAACCGGCAAGTCATCACTGAGCCAATGTATCCGCGTGTGGTTGAGATGTTTGCAAAGAACTTATTCCGCCCAATTCCTCCTCCCATGAACCCGCAGGGTGAAGCTTTCGATCCCGAAGAGGATGAACCGGTCCTGGAGGTTGCATGGCCGCATATTCAAGTTGTCTATGAGTTCTTCCTCCGGTTCATTGAAAGTCAAGATTTCAACACCAATATTGCCAAGGCGTATATCGATCATAGCTTCGTTCTTCAGCTACTCGAGCTCTTCGACTCCGAGGACCCTAGAGAACGGGACTTCTTAAAGACGACTCTGCATCGTATCTACGGCAAGTTCCTCAATCTGAGGTCCTTTATCCGCCGCTCTATCAACAACGTCTTTTTTCAGTTCACGTACGAAACTGAAAGATTCAATGGCATTGCCGAACTGCTCGAAATTCTTGGGTCAATTATCAACGGTTTTGCGCTCCCTCTCAAGGAGGAACACAAGCTTTTCCTTACCAGAGTGTTGCTTCCTCTTCACAAGGTCAAGAGTCTGAGCATGTACCATCCTCAATTGGCGTACTGCATCGTGCAATTCCTGGAGAAGGATGCTTCCTTGACAGAAGAGGTATGTGACACACCACGTCTTTTGCGACCCCACCATAAGCTAACATCTGTCTCAGGTTGTTCTCGGACTTCTCCGTTATTGGCCCAAGGTCAACAGCACCAAGGAGGTCATGTTTCTCAACGAGGTTGAAGACATCTTCGAGGTCATGGACCCGGCTGAGTTCGCCAAGGTCCAAGAACCTCTGTTCCATCAGCTCGCCAAATCGGTTGCCAGCCCGCACTTCCAGGTCGCTGAGAGAGCTTTGTACTTCTGGAACAACGAGTACTTCTGCAATCTCGTGAGCGACAATGTCGAGATCATTCTCCCCATCATGTTCGCTCCTCTATACGAAAACTCCAAGGGACATTGGAATAGGTACGTATTTGAGCAATATCCCATGTTTGAGGTATCACGACTAACCGGGAATAGAACCATCCACGGCATGGTATATAACGCCATGAAGCTGTTTATGGAAATCAACCCGCAGCTATTCGATGATTGCTCCCACGAGTACACGGAAAACCAAAGCAACGCCCCTGCAAGGGAAGCTCATCGCCAGAGCAAATGGGCTCGACTCGAAGAACTCGCGAAGCAGCGGAAAGTAGAAAGTGGAACATCCAATGGCACCAGCTCTATCCCAGCTCGCACCACTGTTCACCCGCTGCCTCGCCTAGAAGAAGTAGACGGCACAGAGGATAATCAAAAGAGGCTGGATTCTTTGAAGTTGCAGGATGGTGATAGAAGGGAGCGACGACCCGGGATGCACGAGAGGCAAAGCTCAGTAGGTTCATCCAGAAGTCGGTAATACGCCTTCACAAAGGAGCTATCTTTTCGGGCGTGTTGTTCTTTTTTTTTTATTTATTTTGGAGCTCAAGGCCACGGGCATTGTTCGGTGTCAAAGTCATGTACGAAGCTGGGAAAACCCGTCATTACGCGATTGGAGGAAGAAGGAAGTTGAAGGAAGCAGGGAAACAAAGGCTGAACAGGGGCTTTTTTGCCGGCCGGTCTTATATACGTCGAAACCAGGACAAGAGGACGGACAAGGACATGAATTGGGCAAGCAGTCAGGCGGGCGGGCGGCAGAAGGCGGCAGCGCAACAGACAGACAGCACACAGGAACTTTGGCACATAGGTCTCAGGGACTTAACCACCACTTTTAGAGAGTTTTTAACGGCGTCATGATTCCATTCCAGTTTACTTCAATTCTTAGCCAGCTCGACCACCGACCGAAAAAAAGAAATGCTTTTTCTTTCGTTTCTTGTTTTTGTTAGCACAAGGCTAGGCTGGCTTCGATTGTTAATATATTTTGGAACTTTCTTTTTCTTTTCGCTTGTTTTAATTTGAATGTCTTCACTTTGGAATCACTGGGTACATTCCTGCCCTGGTTCGTTTATTTGTTAGTATGGTACAAAAAAGTCAAAAGCTTTACTGGTTATAGAACAGATTTCCGGCTTTCTATCGGGTGTTTTAGTCTTATAGGCCTATCTTCTAGTCTGGATGACCTTGAAGGAGACAGGGAAAGAGCATGATATCAGAGGATACCCATTAAAGGCTTCCGTGGCATCACAAACCCTTGCTGTTGTCTGTCATATATGCCATTTCCATCCCCCAAATGTCCCCCAAATGTCTCTGATTCTTGATGTCCATCGGTGACAAACATTTTGCCCCGGTCAGCAGCAACGGTTATTATTATTTCCTCCACCTCCTTCTTGCCCGAGTATAACGCTTGAACACAATCAAATACAACATTGTACAACCATCCATTCCCACCGCCACACAACTACCTAACTTCCCGCAGTCAGGCGGCCTGTCTTATTTACTACTATTCCTCCTCCAGCTCTCCGAAAACATCGTTTCCCTCCACCCACCAGCATACTGATCAATGATATCCGCGTAATCATCCACCACCACACTGACGGTGATGCCCTTCCCAGTCACTGTAGTTCCACTCTCGGTTTCAACCACCGCTGTAGAGTCTTTTTCTTCTTCATCTTCATCATCACCTTCCTGAAACTCATAGCGTCCCTCTCCTTCATGTCCCACCACCTGTCCCGACTGTCCCACCTGTCCCGGTCGCTGATCACCCCTAGAGATGCCGCTAGAAGAACTCCTCTGCACAGGGGCAGTCATGCCTGGACCCAACGTCGGACCCGGTGTCGGTGTCGGGTTCTTCCAAAACTGGAGACTCTCATAACTAGAACTAGAATCCGAGTCACCACCACCATCACTACCTGCAGATACCGGACGTTGCTGCTGCTGCTGCTGCTGTTGTTGCTCTCTATTCTTCTGCTCTTTGTCCCTGGCATCAGCCATTTCTTTTTTTTCCCTGGCTACTTTGTGTGAGGAATGAAGGGGGAGGAGGTTGGTGCCGGTAGGGAGGAGTGGGGGTTCGAGGCCGAGTTTGAGTCGGGGGCAGTGGAGGGGTGATGGCATATGTTTGGGGAATAGGAGATCCTGGGTAGATGGGTCTGGAGAGAGAAGGGGATGGTGAGGGAAGGGGTGAAGGGGATGGTGCTGGTTGTGAATGTTGGGATTGGGATTGGGATTGGGATTGGGACTGTGAGTGGGGTGACAATACTAGATACCGAGGGGAGGGAGTCCTGAGAGCTGGCTGGGCTTGGTAGGCCTGGAATCGAGGAGGTGTTTGGGGAGTCGACTGGGGTTGATGTGCTTGGGACCCAGGAGAGGATGTCTGAGGGTTTGGTTCGAGTGGATATCCTTGAGACGGAGGAATAGAAGGAGGAGGAGTCTTGAAAGCCAGGTTGACCTTCTCCTGAACCTTTGGTTGTATCTGCGTCTGCGTCTGTAGAGGCATCTTTCCCAGGTTTTCTGATTGTATCTGAGCTTGTCCCTGCCCTTGAACTTGCTTCTGTGATTGTGTGTTTCCCGGTTGCAGTTCCCGAACTTTCGCTTGTCCTTGAGTATACACCTGAACATGAGCCGGCTTCTGTGTCTGAGTCATCATCGACATCGTCTTTTCCCAAGCTTTAGCTTGACCTTCATCATACAACCCGTCAACCATCCCCACAGACAACCTGTTCCCAAGTGTATCCACGCCGCTCGCAGGCGAGTCAACAAAAGGATCACTAAGGCGTGGCTGGATATGTATAGAGAATTCAGTGGAGCCTCGCTGATGTCGTTTCCTCTCCTGCCCCTGAATATGATTCTGATCCTGGCTCTGTGGTGACAATCGATTAGGGGTAGAGGGACCATGTTCTCTTGATGTCAATGGCGATGCATGGCTGGTGTTAAACTTCGACAGTAGCGACGGAACTGGAACCGGCATTTTGACCGGCATCCTAGCCTTGCTGTTGCCATTATACACTGTCTTTGGCAACACCAACAAGCCACCTTCGTCTCCGCCTGGAGGTGGTGGGGGAGCAGGTGGGGGAGCCTTGAGCTTCGTAGAGGAAACCCTCGGGGGCGTTATCGCTACCCCACTACCCCCCGTAAGTGAGGAGAGTGAAGAAAGTGATGAGATACTGACTGTCCCAGCAAGATGTCCTCCCATATGCCCTCCCACTCCTCTCATCCCCGTACTCCCCATACTCTTTGGCTTCGTGGGAGTAGGAGTGGGGGTGGGAGGAACTGGTCGCGAAGGACTGAAATCGAGTCCCTTGAGTAAAACCCTCGGCTTGGGAGCTACGGCCTTTGTCTCGGGGGTTTTCGGTGGAGGTGTTGGTGGTCTCGGTGATGAAGAGGTGGTGCCAGGGGAAGAAGGAGGGATATATGGTCCTCGTTCTTTCAAAAAACCGCGGGGTGGTGTTATTGGATAACGTCTTTTCTGTTGGGTCTGCTTTGGCTTTGGGCGTGGGGTTGATGGGATTGCTGTTTCTATTCCTAGTTCATGTGTCCCTTGGCTGGGATCTGTTTGCTGCTGCTGCTGCTGCTCTCCCCGTCGCGAGGGCGGTCTTACATCAGGCGTCTCAGGCCTCGGAGAAGATGTAAAAGCGCTGTAGAAGGCACTAGATGTACTTCCGCTTCGTCCACTATCTCCGCTCTGCCCGCTTCCCCTCCCACGTTTCTGTCTTTCCTGTTCATGCTGCTTGTGCGCAAGTTTCAAAAGTTCAGTGTGTAGTGTTTGCATCGCGTGGCCCGAGGAACCAAGGGTCGGGAACAAAAATCCCCTACCTGTATTATCTAGCGATTTTGGTTGCGGTGGTGGCGGTGATGGTAGTTGTCTGGGATGCTGTTGCTGGTCCGAGATAGATGTTGCCGTCGGCTTGCAAGAGATGGAACTCTTTCTTGTGCCACCGCTGGGGTCGTACTCCTCGTCGATGTCAAAGTAGCGGCCTCCTGGCGGAATGGTGGACTCGCTGTCGCTGTCGATGGCGCAAGCACGTTGAACATCCCGAGTGAGCAATGTCTCTGGAGCTGCAGTTGTCGATTTGGCTGGTGGGCGCCCGAAAGTCCATCTGGGAGCTTCGGGAAACATTTCAGGGGTAGGAGTAGTAGGGCTCTTTTGAGATGGCGTGTAAACGGATGGAGTGTACTCCCCCTTGCTATCGTTGGTCCCGTTGAAAATATCATTTTCGTCAGCCTCGCTGGTGCTGTATGTCTTGGATGGCAGTCCTGTGAAATCTAAAAAGCTGTAAGCGTTCATATCTCCTTGGCCGTCTGATGGCAACTTGCACTTGTCCGAAGATCCATCAGTTGCACGTACCAGTCAAAAGATGAGAAGGAGCAGCTCCTTTTCGGAGAGGTCCTCCTTTGGCCGTGTCCTGTCTGAAAATCTGCCCCGTGTTGGTACCTGGCTGGTCCTGCGTTTCCTTCTGTTGATGATCTCCCCTCCACTCACGAAAAGGATTTATTTCTTCCACCTCCTTGAACTCCCCATATGCAAGTTCCCACCACTTTTCATCCTTTGGGGTTTTCGCGTCATCGCTTGGGTCAGGAACGAAAGGGCTGCCTCTCTGTTGTTCAATCCGAGTCAGTGGGGATACTTGGCTGTTGAGGTATTCAACGTATGCAACCGGGTAATGGGCAACTGAATTCACGGGAAATCTCTGCGGATTGGAATTGGATGTAAATGTAGAGGTGGTCATGCCTTCAAACGGCGAATTTTCTGTCATCCCTCCAGAAGACATCTTATCTTAACAGGTGGGCTTTTTACTAAATGAGATGATGGGACAAGCAAGCAAGCAAACGGTTGGTTGGTTGACTCACGCTTCCGCCGTCGTCGTCTTCGTTGGTTGCTCCGTCCACGCCAGTTGATCCTGGTTCTCCTGCACCACCACTCCTCTGTTGTTGAATCCCGTACAAGTGGACCCCGCTTCTTTGTTGCTCTGCAGCGTGATGCCACGTCCGGAGAGCGTCGTAACAGTCGTCTTCAGTAGGGGCTTCAACCGGTGAGATGAATCTCTGAGGTCTATCCGGTGTATGGACGATGCGGTATTCCTCCTCTTCTTGGGGTGATTGCTGGAGTGACCCTCGTCGCTGGAGATGAGGCTTGCCTTCGATAGACACTCGTAGTCTTAGATCCCGTAGACCACGCAATTTTTGAGAAAGTCTGATGCTCTTCGACTTTCGGTCACGATTGTTGTCCTTTGACTGAGACGACATCATGAGCAAGGTAGCCACAACTGGGAAGGGAATCTTCGGGAATGAAATAAGTAGAAAAAGGCGGAAAACCAACCAACAACGTTGTTGGGCAAGAAAAAAGAGAAGAGTCAAGAGAGAACTTGTCCTTTCGATTTGTCTGGTCGTTGTTCCCTTAGAAGGAATAAATCACCACACCACGAAGCGAGACAAAGGACTCTCCTCACATAACCAAGAGCGAGGCAGCATAGTCATCCTTTGTATGAGCAAATACGGCTTTAACTTGGATTGAGGTTTCCACTGACGGCATGTTTCTTCCTTCCCTTAATTCCTTCAACTAGCGTACTGAACAAAGAAAAAAACCCAGTGCACTGCCGAATCTGGCCTTGTCTTGCGTGTCTCGGCTGTGCGAATCCCGCTTGCCAATTAACCTACCCAGGTATCTCCTCAGTCTTTGTTCCAGGCACGGAGGTATTTGGGGTATCACAAACAATGCCCATAGTGAAACACAAACTCTGTTTTCCGCTAGATGGAGGGCGTGTGACTGTGTGATTCTGATTTATATTCCCCATCACTCTGGTCCCGATGACGCATTTGCCCTGGCTGGGGGTACGAGAACAGAATGACCAGCACCAAAAGCCTCAGAGGCTTACAGTAACCGTCATATTGTTACTCAAAACCAGCAACATGGGCGGTAACCCATTGCAAAGCACCTCAACATCGGACAGGTACGTCAAACTTGCCTCCTCACTTTGACAAGTGTTTTCCTCAGGTACCGGGAGCGTGGTAAAGAGGACTGCCGTGTCCGCGCTATTCTGCCGCATCAGCTCGTTCAAAATCAGATGCTGCGCCCGGCTTGGGAGGTCGTTAAAGGAGAGCGGAAGCCCTTGGGTAGAATAGCTCGAGCCAGCTTCAGCGGCATCATCGTCCTGTTGCTGCTGATGCTGAAGTCTGTATGAAGAGAGGAGCTCGGGTATATCAAGCAGGACATCACCACTGCCGCTGCCAGTTCCAGTCCTTGCCGGGGAGTTTGCTCTTGACTTGTCTGGGGACGATGAAGCCCCATCGTAGCGTGGCTCAACAAAGCAGACCGTTCTAGGACCTCCTCCATTGTCGTCATCAATTGTATTTCTGGCGGCTTGTTTGCTTGAAAGAAGTGCAGCGGTCCCCGGTGTGGACCGACGTGATATCCCGGGGCGAGCCTGATCTTCTGCAAACATAATCTGTGGTCCTGTGTCATCACTGGTTATCCTTGTTTCCGGGACCAGTGAGCTGGTGAACTTTCTGGCGGTAGAGCTTTTTAAGATTGATGAGTTTTGTCGCGACAGTGTTGGCGTTGTCGTGTGGGATGATCGCTCCGTGCCCACGCTCAGAAAATCGTCCCTCTTGCTAGACCTGCCTTCTGAACCATTATTGCGACTATGCCCGGTATCCTGAGACACTGCGCCATAAGATTGCTGTGCAGATGGTCCTCCTGCCTTCCGCGATCTCCTATCCTTCCAAGGCTTCTTCAAGCGATCGAAGAGGTCTCCGTGACTCATTCGTCTAGTGGCTCCCAATAGAGGAACTCGCGACGGTTCAAGTGCTTCAAGGCCGCCATTATTTGCAACACTTGCAGCATCATTGAAATCTCCATCCAATGTACCGCTAGATGAGCTGCTGTCGCTGTCGCTCTCGCCGTCAAGGTCCATTTCTGAGCTGTCCAGCACATTCGCCGCAAGGTTCTGAGTGTGTATTCCCATGCTGACACCCAGCCGAACCAACTGTGAGACTGTGGGCTTCTTGGGAAAATCAGCCAGTGGCGCCCAGCTGGCGCGCCTCCTATCGCGCGGATCAGGGAGCTCGCTGTGTGGATTGTACAACCCCGGTCGTCCCGAAGTCGACTCAACGATGTTCAATACGGAACTTATGTCGGGCTGTGAGGTCTCTTCATGGGTTCCCCGGATCTTCTGAAGTTCTTCCCACCATTCTTGGCCCACTAGACAATCATTGACCAGTTTCTCCGTTTTTTGATCTCGGAAACGCCCGTGAATGATGGCCTCGTATGTACCGAGATCACCAGAGGCCAGCCAGAAGACCAGCACCTCGGCTTCGATCCTTAGCTTTTCAAGGAGAGCCTTGACTCGTCCTCTTTCCTCTTCAACCTCGCTTTCGTATTCAACGAACACCAAAACACGAACTTGGTAAACCTTCTTCCAAGCGGGGACAGTATCGAGGATATAACCCAGCTGCAAGATGAGAGTGTCTGTTACATGTCAGCAATCGAAGTGATAAGCATGTCCAGTTGACAGAGACTCACATGTATCAAAGTTGGTGGTCAGAACATTCCTACCGTCCGCGGAGAGCTCCGCCGACATCTGGATGGGCCAAAGATCAATGTACTTCTTGGTGTTACTCCCATCTTTCCTCGGTGTCTCCAGGGTCTCAAACCCTTTACCAACCGCCACATTCAGACGATATCGCAAAGCCAGGTCCTCGAGAATAGTAAGATAATCAATAACCGACATCATCTCCTCGGTCCTGATCACGTCAGTGGGCAAGAATCCTTCCATCAACCTAGCCGAAGTATCGCCTCTCTTTCGCTGCCTCACGGGTTGTTTAGTTTCAGTAGTCTGCGGACTCTTAGCATGTGACGTTGGCGCCTGGTGGGATATACGCAGTGTTGGCCGGGAACGCCGCAGGTCGTCCAGGTTGTAGAAGCCAATAACGGCAATGTTGGGCCGCATACCACCCAGGCCTGCCGAGAGGATCAGGTTCCTCACGCCCCAAGTGATGGTCGGTGACATGGTGAGCTGAACAAAAGCCTTGATCCTCGAGAACTCCGAGATGTACTTTGTCCACGCCGCTTGTTGGAGCTTTGCCTCGGTAACTCCCGCGGAGAAATCATCGGTGACGATGACATGGCCGAGGATGTACAATCCGCCCTTCTTCATCGAGTTGCAGAACTGAATGAGGCGGGTTTGCTTTCTCGGGTTGTTGATGAGTAGGATGATCTGCGGCCGCCAGAATTTGATGTGCTCTGGTTTAAGCCTCAACAAGTATTTTCGGACTTGGTGGTAGATCAAGTTTTGTGATACATCGCCCCAGCGCTTGGGCGGACTCAGATAGTGAATTAGCAGGAACAGAGTAACGAGCAGTGAGACGGCAGTGGTAGCATATGTCTCGTCGATGAAGAACATGGCAGCCGCTGAAAGCACACTACCGGCGAAGGCAGTCTGCCAGCTGAAGAACTTGAAGCCTGGGCGGAAATTGGGGGCGGAGCCAATCTTGAGCAGGAAGCAAGCGAGGTTCATGACGAAGAAAGTCATTTGGTATCCCATGGAGATGAAGGTTGCAATCTGGTTCAGGTTCGCGAACATGGCAAACTGAGCAACGATGTACGTTAAGAAGATAGCGAGCAAGGGCTCATCAGTCTTCTTGGTGCCTTTTCCAAAGATGGAAATACCAGGAACCAGTTTGTCTCTAGCCAATGCCTGCATGAGTTTGGCAGAGCCTATCACTCCCATCAAAGCCGAGAAGAAGCATGTTGCAAACTCTCCGGCAAAGATGATTGGAGGCCAAACATTTGTCTCCTGGATAACGTTGGTATTTCGCAGAAACGTGCCGTGTGTCGTACTCGAGGCCAGCGAGATGATGACCAGGACGTACGAGATGAGAGTTGACAACATGGCCCAGAGAGTTCCGCGAGGAATGTCCTTGCTGGGGTTTCGCAAATCACCCGACATGGACGCGCCAGCAAAGATACCCGAAGTTGCCGGGAACAGGATGCCGAAGAGATCCCTAAAGGTGCCAGCTCCATTGAACTCATCACCTGCAAAATGCGGCCACAGGTTGGATCGCAAAGTGGTGAGACTGACGCCTGTGAACTCGATGCCACTGACCGGGTCATTGAATGACGGCAGGAAGATGGCCGAGACGGGAATGCTCAGGATGGAGATGACCATGATGGCTAACAAGGCATTGCTCGCCTTTGCAAACATGGCGCTGCCAGCCAGGCACAGTAGAGTGCATACCAACAACGCTCCTGTCTCGAATAGGTAGGTCCACCAATACCCCTGAGCCATGACAGGTCCCAAATTCAGCCTCAGGCAGTCGATGAGACCGACGACGTTGAGTGCGGTGTTCAAGACCTGCGCCAGATAGAACAGGATGCCGATGGAGCCTCCAAACTCGGGGCCAAGGGACCTGGAGATGAGATAATAGGCACCACCTCCCTTGACCTCGCCATTGGAGGCAATGGCAGATAGAGACAGAGTAGTGACAAAATCAACCGAGTATGCAATGAAGAGAAGTCCTGGAAATAGTTAGCTAGTTTCCATTCAATGTGGTACACAGTAAGCTCCGGGAAGGACATACCAAGCATGCCAAGTAGACCAATCTGACCCAAGATGGAGCCGAACCTCAAGAACATGAGGATACTGAGGATATTGAGGCATACTGGGATGTAGACGCCGGAGACGACGCCCAGTTTATGCCTCCTGCTCTGATGTTCGTGATCCATGGTTGTCGGTGTTTGACTATCATGCCTCCATTCGCGGGATGGGTTCTGGTGTTGGCGTTGCACAGCAGAAATGACTGTCTTGGGAAACAGGCCGGTAGCTTGTCGACAAGAAGCCAAGAATTGCCCTGTGAGACTGGCTTTGGGGTGAAGCGCCCAACAGAAAGCTGGAGGAAAATGGTGGAGGCCAGCTCTACCCCAGTCTCAGACCTTGCGGTGTCTATATATCCCTTGGATGCTGTGATCCTGGGAAGGGATCGGCGGCTGGTGGTGTGGGAGACGTAGCTCCAGCGTAACGCGAGGAAGCTATCAGCGGAGGACAGAAACTGAGAAGGCGTCCAAGCTCCGTCTATATACTGCACTCGAGCATGATGCTGTGGTGGTTGTATATCGAAATGTAGCGGTGGGGAAAGGATTCTTTTTTGAAGCTGGAGGTAAAGCTTGATAGACGACGTTTTTTTTTTTTTTAGTGACTTGCTGGCGAATCAGAAGCTATTCCGTCCCTGGATAAGTCTCTCACCACTATGTAGCATCAACTCAGCTTGACAGTATGGCGTCTCAGTCTTTTTTTTCTTTCTTTTTCGGTAGCTTTTGTTCAGGTTTTCGTCGTCAGTAACGAGACGCCTTGAATAAGGAAGGGGCTGGTAGCCGTAAAATTAACTCTGAAGGGGGGCTCCAAGGATACAATCAAGATCAGGAAGGAGGGACTCAATGGGTGACGATGAGCAAGCGGGCTGAGAAGGAGCGACCTCGAACAAGAGACGGATACAAGTCAAAAACTGAAGTGTACAACCAAGTACAACTACTGAAGCCAAACAGCTGAACGAATCAACCCCACCATCAAACCTAAGGTAGGGAAAACCTGCTTGATTCCGAAACATCCGGTACTGCTGCAGTCGATATCAAGGGTGAGTTATGTTTACGGACCGACCATCATGGCCTGGCGATTGGAGAAGCCGTCTTCCTCCATCGGCCTCCACGGTTGTTGTCAGACCTGTCCCGGCTGCGGAAGCGGAGGGTGCTGTTGCCGACCCTCTCCCCCGCCTTCACCGGCCCGCTCCAATGGGACCGGGCAGGGAATCAGGATCGCCAGCAAGGGCCTACCTAGAATATGGCATTGTTAGGCGTTGTTATGGGGGCGGTGGAGTTGCATCAGCGCCAGAGTCTGGAGGCCGAGGGCCATCGTCGTGGTGATGATGATGCCTTTTGTGTTTCCCTTGTGTTACTATATCGAAGATATCGGGTTGTACCGTCCTGACATCTCAATATAGACCTGTAACAGATACTCGTCCTCTCTATCTCTGTTCCAGCTACAAAAACCGAGGGTATCGCTCAGATTTGTTTTTGGTCTCGCGCATGGCATGTATCGGCGCATGACTGGATTCAACGAGGATATCGGCGGGGTCCATGTTATGTAGCGGATAACATGAGCTAAATGATCCTCCGTCATGTCATGCTGTCCGGTGCTGCGTGTCTACAACTACATACAGTAGGTATGACAATACCGAGTAACGACACGATAACCAAAGCGTGAGGCATTCAGCCCTGATTTGTGAAGCGTGATCGCCCGTGATTACATGTGTGTATCGTTGTCCACGCTTTTGGTGAGAGACTGAAGTTGTGATCTCTTTGGTGGACGGTGACCTCTGCTTAACAGACATTCCCGTCAGAGCATCTGGGTCAGGGTCGGGTCTCAAGAGTGGATCTCCCTAGCAAGCCTGCACAGCAAGGATCGCCCAGGCGCCTGCCCGTCGCAGTGCCTGGCGCAGTGTCAGCAGGACCCGATGCTGTTACCTCTAGGTTAAGAGGCCCACCCGACAAGGCGTTTGCAGCGTAACGAGGCACCCACGATCTCTTGTCGTCTCTTGACGATGGTCACGCTGGTCACGCTTTCTCTACGTGCCCTGTTCTCCTATCGCCAGGACACGTTCTCATTCGTACAGCGCTCACCAGATTGATGGCGGCTCCTTATCTCAGTTGGCCCAAGTGCCACTTCGCCAATGATGTACTCCAATCAAAGACTCCAATGCCCTTGTGCTGTCGGCCAGCGCAGGTCACACGGACCCGTCTCTTGATTTCTGCATCTTGGTAAAAGTCACTCGACGATACCGACGTCAAAAGGGTAAAAGAGAGAAACATCTCCATCTTTGATACGAGAATTGTCACATTATCCAGATACATATCTCGGACGGAAGTACATATTGTTACTAGCCACCGCAACGCTGCTTACTTTCCCTCGTTTACTTGACTCGGGCCTTATCAATATCGCCCCTCAAAGTCCCAGATAGGAAGTTGGCGCTGAAGTAAACGGAGCAGACCTAGCGACAGAGAGTGCTGCGGCAGTGTTTCGGACACGCGTCGACAACCCCAAGATCGACCTACCTAGAACTACCTCGTCTCCCACTTCTAGCAATAAGAACGGGCTGTCACAAAGTCTTCGTTGCGTGCCATCATCGAACAGTCCTTCGCTCAGGCATCCTTCCACCGCTAGGAAAAAGAGAGCCGTATCTGAAACACGGACGGTCACCATCTTTATCTCTTTCTCCAGTCTCTGACCTTGACCTTGACCTTACCTCCGACACCACGGACTGAACTGCGCTCCAGTATCTCCACGCCGATTGTGCTCTAGACAGAGGTCTGGGCTACCATTACATCATCACCACAGACACCACCTCTACTGCTTAACGACCATGTCAAATTCGGGCAAAGACTCGGGAAGGAACTCACCGGCCCCGGGTAATGTCCCCGGCCGCTCTTCTTCGCCCGGCGGTTCTTTTCGCCCCGGCTCCTTCCGTCCCAGCTCGTTTCGCGCCCGCGAGCTCGGCACGTCGATACCACGCGCTGATAGCATCGCGCGCCTCGCCACGCCCGTACTACCACAACAACAACCGTCTGGCACTCCAACACCTATTCCGATAGAGCGAGGAGATGCCGGCGCCTTACCACCACTTCCCGGCGCCGGGTCACATTCTGCTGGCCCCGGTGTTTCTGCTTTAGCCGCTGCCTTGTCCAACACCTACGGAGCCTCGCCACCTCGCTTTGGCACTCCTCCTGCGCGCGCCCTCTCCCCTGCCCCTTCGGGTGCCCAGCTCCAAAGATCCGCGACGCCCACCACGAACTACGGCTCCTTCGAGACAAGATCGAGGTTACCGTCCACCGGTATCAACGGTTTCGGAGCATACGAAGATCCCGAGATCATCAAGAGACACTTGGTCCAGCCTGGTGATGGCGCTGGGGAGGAGACAGGCGAGAGATCCAAGGGCAAGCAACCTGCCGAAGACGACGATGAGTTCTCGAGTTTGCAGTTGCAGGGTGGTGACATCACGCGCCCTATATACAGATGGGCGGAGGAGATAGAACAGCGCAACAAGGCCAAGCGCAGCCACAGTTTCAGCTACCCCAGGCCCGAACCAGAAAATGAGATCCTGGATATCAACTCAATCAAAGTCCCTGGTGGCTTCCGGCGTAATTACCTCCGGAGAAACGCGAGAGACCCCTCGGCTCATCCTGACGACTCCGAAAATGGTGCGGGCCAGAGTGCGCCACCGCCGAGGTTACTGACGACTAGCTTCCTTGAATTCCTTTCTTTGTACGGACATTTCGCCGGTGAGGAACTCGAGGAAGACGATGAAGTGCTCAAGCCAGGCGAATACTTCACCTCCGGAAGCGACGAGGGCGAGTGGTGGAGTGACGAGGGCTCTGTTGATGATCACGAGCCCATGGAGGACAGCACACTGTTAACGCCGTCTCGACGTAAGAGGAGAAGGAAGGAGCGTGGTGGGAGTGGCCGAAATAGTCCCATGAGCGCGGCAATGCTTCTCCTCAAGTCCTTTGTCGGTACAGGTGTTCTCTTCCTCCCCAGAGCCTACCTCAACGGCGGCATGGTCTTTAGTAACGCCGTGCTCCTCTTCGTGGCGGCTCTGAGCTACTACTGCTTTGTTCTCCTCGTCTCCACTCGCCTCAAGGTGGAAGGATCCTTTGGTGACATTGGTGGTATTCTCTATGGCAAGTGGATGAGAAATCTGATTCTCTTCTCCATCGTCATCAGTCAACTGGGTTTCGTGGCAGCTTACATCGTCTTCACGTCGGAGAACTTGCAAGCATTCATCCTTGCCGTCACCAATTGCAAGACCTACATCTCCATATCATGGCTGATTATCATGCAAATGATCATCTTCCTGCCGTTCTCGCTGCTACGTGATATCGGCAAGTTGGGATTCACTGCGCTTATCGCCGACGCCTTCATCGTCATCGGTCTGGCCTACCTCTTTTACTACGACGTCCTGACTCTCAACACCTCGGGCCTGGCCGACATCATCATGTTCAACCAGAAGGACTGGACCCTTTTCATCGGCACCGCCATTTTTACCTTTGAGGGCATCGGCCTCATCATCCCGATCCAAGAGTCCATGAGAAACCCAGAAAAGTTCCCCAAGGTGATGGCCGTCGTCATGATTATCATCACCACTTTGTTCACCGTTATGGGCGCCGTCTCCTACGCCGCCTACGGCTCCAAGACCGAGACAGTCGTGCTCCTCAACTTGCCCCAGGACAACAAAATGGTCAACGGCGTGCAGTTCCTCTATTCGCTCGCCATCCTACTTTCGACCCCGCTGCAGATCTTCCCCGCCATCAGGATCACGGAGAATGCACTCTTCACGAAGAGCGGAAAGTACAATCCGTATATCAAGTGGCAGAAGAACGTGTTCCGCTTCTTTGTCGTCGCTTTCTGCGCCATGGTTGCGTGGGCGGGTGCCGATAACTTGGACAAGTTCGTCGCACTGGTCGGTAACTTTGCTTGCATCCCGTTGGTGTATATCTATCCGGTGAGTTTTGCTACTTACCCTTGCTCCTTCTTGTGCAGATGATCAATCAGACGCTAATACAATCACAAACAGCCGATGCTGCACTACAGGGGCGTCGCCAGAAGCGCTCTCTGGAAATTCTCGGATGTCGCCCTGTGCGTCTTTGGCTTCATTGCCATGGCGTACACGACTACCTTGACGGTCATGAGCTGGGCTGGCGCTGGGGAGGGCGGAGAATCGCCTGGCTATTGCGATGCCAAGGGATTGAACCCGTAAAGGCGTGCAAACGTTTACGTGTTGATCACGAAAGGAGTCATGAGTATCCATCCTCTTGAATATATGGGACAGCGTTGGGGTTTATCAAGAAAAAGGATCCGACGATACGATTATGGTTGTATAGAATGAAGGGAAATCATGGGATAGGGGTCGACATGATGAGAGCAAGACATATGGGTTATGACTAGATGATTGTGGGATGGACGACACTACACTGTAGACTTGATGGGAGTGAGCAATCTGTTGCCGAGAAGCATGTCTAGAGTTTGTATTGCATCGTGGTGGAAGCGTTTTCCTGTTTGTTTGAAGAAGCTCGTCACCATAGCGATGGAACGAGAATAGTTTGACTTTTGAATAAATTGGATTAGTCTGGCATTTTCCCCATTGCACGTCTCTGGTGCCGATGCCATTTCGCCTTTGTTTTGGCGTGTTAAGACTGGGTTTTTTTTCTCCCTAGCAGTCTCTACTAATTCTGACTCTGGGCAAAGCAGCCTTTCTCTCCCATTGCAAACAGACTTCGAGCGAACACGGTGGTAGCTACGATGACTTTCCACATATCAGTTTACTCTTTGCATATGACCAACCTCATTTCATGGTTGGAAGAGTTCTCCTTAGTATGTCGCCATTGTCTGCCTCGCCAACAAGCAAGCTCACTGCTTTCTTTCTTTGTTGAACCCTAACCCTCCCTACAAGCATGTATAGCCCAGCGGACCGAGTCATCCAAAAGCGGGATGGCGCTGAAATAACTGAGCGCACAGACCACACGTACCTCGATCCGGGGTTCAGTGCTCCAACTGCGTTGCCTCCATCTCACAGTGGATGCGCAACCTGGACGACGGACCTTGAAGACATCGATCAAGTGCGTTCACTTGTGTTAAAACATCCCACCCCCTTCACTCAGATCAAAACCTTCACCAGCTGACGAGCAGTATCAAAACCTGAGCGACTGAAACCTTCGGTAGTCTGTCCCATTCACGCTCCAATTTTGGGTATCGAAATTCCTACGTTCCCCCGGTCCTGCCATAAGAGCCAACCTACACAATTGCTACATCAACCACTCGACGTTCTTGAGCAGTTGACATCGTCACCCCCCGGTCTCAATCTCAACACCACATCGCGAATTCACGATATCGGGCGACGACGACGACAATAGTTTATACACCACCGATAACCAACAACGAGCTCTACGTCATATCGTTAGCCAATCGCAAAAATGAACGCCCCTGATAGGTTAGTAGAATCTTCTCTTTTTGCTGGTTTCTTTCCACGTGGATAAATGAAACCCCCCTCCTCCTTCTGCCCTGGACGACGCGCCTCACGCAAATTCCGGAAACACTCGACCTGGGTTGCTTTGAATCCCATGGGGGCGTTCGGCAAAGAATCATAACGACTATGTCAAAGGTCATCATGTCATGCCGGTGTCGACTGAAACCGCAATGCCAACCCGTCTCAGTACGACAATGGAACAAATCGACCTGGACAGACAGGCAGACACTTAGATAGTCCGCCGCAGTTCTTCGCCTTGCGTGTCTATCCTTCAGGGTTTACGAGCTTGGTTCAATCTTCCCCTCCGGTAGGCGGTGTTTGTCTGGTTGCTGGTGCCAGGTGCCTATTGTTTTGACCGCGAAACAAACGGGACGGCTTTCATCTGATCATAGACCGTGGACGTAAATGGAAGGCAACAGGCAGGCGAGGCAGCTGGGAGAATAGCCATCTGGGAGTTGGTTGGTAACTTGTCTACCATGGATTCATTCACCTTGACCAAACTCAATCTGGAGAGTCGCTGGCTGTCAACGATATAAGAGGCGGACGACTTCCTCCTCATACACCACTTACATCCATCATCAACCCAACATCCCTTTGGACCAGCACACAGTCCACATCACGGCAAGAAGGATATTTCCATGCCCTCCTCGTCACCTGGCAACAGCAAACAGGACCAAGATCAACAAGATGAACGGAGCAAATCCCAAGCAAAACAGCGAGCCGAACCGGTCCGCCTTTTCTCTTCCCTTTTTACTCTCATCATTACCTCACTTTCGGGTGGTAGGACAACATTACTGACATTTGCTTCCAACAACAACCAGGTTCGAGCTCTTCCTTCTCCAGGATGGAGAGAAGAAGATTGAGGAGAAGGTTTTCACTGGTAAGTCGAGTCGATCTCCTCATCTTCTTGATGACGAGGTGATACATGGGGAGAAGAAGAAGAAGTAGTAGAATAAGGAGACCACAAGAAAACTGACCCCGATTTTTCTTTTTACTTGGATAGGCATGTCGAACACCTCCGACTTCAAGATTCTCAAGGAGGACCACACTCTCGGCAACCTCCTCGCCGAACATCTGAAGCAGGCCCCTCATGTCTTGATGGCAGGATACAAGAGTACGTCGTCGTACCGCCGCGTCTTCACTTTTACTTTCCTTCTCTACCCCTACTCCCACAAACCCTCACCACCACCACCACCACCACCCATGGCGAGATAAACAGAAACTGACACCTAATTATAGTTGCCCACCCTAACGTGCCGGAACTCTTCATCCGTATCCAGACAGACGGAAGCATCACCCCGCGCGAGGCCCTCGTTGGCGCGTGCAAGCAGCTCGTGGCCATGTACGGCCAGCTGGGCCGCGAGTTCCAGAAGGAGCTTGCCCTGCGCCAGTATGCTGACCAGGGCGAGCAGGGAGGCGGCGTGAACGGTGGTGCTAATGGCGGTCATTACTGATCGATCCCGCCTTAACGGGGTTCGCAGTGTTTACACTCCCAACACGCCTTTACTTTACTTGACTGCCGGGGGAAGTTTACGAGGTAGTCCGATGCTGAATTGGGCAGGTGGGAAAAGAGATGCGGTGGCATGGACGGTGAAAACATGATTAGCTCATTATCTTTGCTGTTTGTTGATCGGATCGGTCGTCATTCAAAAACGGCGTTTAGGGATTTTCTTTGAGGATGCTTTTCAGTCAGTCTCTTTGCAGGCGTTATGATCAAGACATGCATGGGATATGGAAAATAAGGGGTTTTGACAGATCTCTCCGTTTGCTCGCTCGATGCTAGGGAAGAATGGGAACCATAGATTTGTTCAAAGTGTCGTGTGGTGAGAATATGCGAGAAGTGGATGTTGATTTTTCAAGAGGTTTGTCAATATGTCTTTGGGACGTCTACTTCTATTTGCTCCCATCAGGTGCCCTCTATTCTATATCGAAATTTTATTGCTCGTTCAGCCATAACCCATAGCTCCTCGTCTATCAAACGTGCCGCTCTCTAGTTGACCTTGGTAACACTCAACTCACCCTTCCCATTCTCCTCTTCAAGCTCCAACAACCCACCAGCCTCCAGTCTCTTCTTCCACTTGGTGCTCTCATACCTGGCCAGAATCATGGTCATCCTCAGTATCGCCTCACTGCTGGATTCGTGCTCCTTGACTTCAGCCGCAACAGGTGTGAACGTCCACCTTCCGAACGCCCAGTTGAGGATATACCTCGTCGTTTGGGCTTCGCTTCCCGTGGACGTAGGTGGTGCTGAAACCGTGGTATCCTCATCCGAATTCTTCAGCACCTCCCGCGCAGTTTTCGCAGAAACCGCCAACACGGCCTTGATCCTGTACACCTCATCCTTGCTCGTTTTCCTCAAGAAAGCCAACAGCTTCGCCACATCCACCGTCGCTTCTCTGTTGCCACTCTTAAGCTCAATGCTCAACACCTCCACCTCCGTCTGATGATCATGCTTATGCTTATCGTCATGTCCACACTTGTCATCATGAACATGCCCATCCTCTTCCGTAAGACCCCTCGCCAACCCTCCATCAATCCCAAACACCACCGACATGTCCACCCACCCCTTATCACTCTTCACCCACGCCGTGTCCACCTCCAAATCCCCCACCCTATCCAAAACCTCATCAAACCTCCTCTCCCCCGCCCCTTCCCACTTGTTAAACACAATCAAATCCGTATACCGCGCCTGAATCCGCGCCGTATAACTAGTATCCTCATACCCCTTCCAATTCTCCACATCAATCACGCTCACCACGCCATCCAGCACATACTGGCCCCCTGTCTCTCTAGCCAGCCGGTTGACTTCGAGCGCCAGCGTAGCAGGGAACGCAGAGCCCGAGGTCTCAATGACGATTCGGTCCGGCCGAACGGTGGACTGGAGCTCGGAAAGGGCAACCGAGAGCTGACCGACGAGGTTGCAGCAGATGCAACCGTTCAGAAGCTCGGAGACGCCGGCGATGGCCGAGGAGGAGGCGAGCTGGGAGTCGACGGCCAGATCGCCGAATTCGTTCTTGAGGAGGGCGAGGCGGTAGGAGGGGTTGGCGGCGCGGAGCTGGGGGAGGAGGTTCAGAATGAGGGTGGTTTTGCCGGAGCCGAGGAAGCCAGTTATGATGGTTATGGGGATAGGGGATGATTGGTCGCGCGTCATTGTGGTGGTTGTTCGTGGGTTGGTTGGTTGGTTGCGTGATTGTGTTGGAGGGGTAGGTTTCGTAAGTATAGGATCGAGTCTGGGACTACACTAGGGTCTAAGTCGCGAAGGAAAGTTCGAGGTAGGTCGATCGATCGAATGTCGGGGAGATAATGGAGAGTAGGCGACCTGTAAGTGAGGTATGTAGGAGGTCAAAGACTGTCGCAAGGAATTTCGGGCAATTCAGGATTGCAGAATTGTAAAAGAGAGAAAGATCGCCAAGCTGCCCTGGCTTCTGGAGAAAGCTTCTCGATTCCGATCCGACTTCGGGGACGTCTAACTTGGTCAAGAAGAAGGGTTTTATAAAAGCAACAACAGTATGTATTGTTCAAGGGAATCAGTAAAAGCAACTCTATTCAATATATAAATAATATTTACAAGAAGATGGAGAGAGAAATAACACAGTCATATGGTTCCTGGAGTTTCCAGCATCATGGTCGCCCTTGGCGTCGGATCTTGCCGCCGCTTGGAGGGGCACGACAAGGTGGCGGGGGCTCGTGGGCACAGTGGGCTGTTCTGGGCTTCTAGCCGGTCCGATAAGATCGGGCGATAAGGGCGATAAGGACATCCTCCTCGATGGTGAATTGAGGTCGATGATGACTGGGACGTGCCATGGTGTTCGTCAAATAAGATATGTATCTTCATTGCTATAAATTGAAATCATCTGGAGCTCCTCTGCAGGAACAGAAAAAATGATTGTTTTGAACTTCAGACGACAGAAGCAAAGCGCACATTGTCTTTGTACAACGAAGGGATTTCGTGACGTCATCTCCACCTGAATAGACCACTTACACCTGCTTCATGTCTTAACTGAAGCCATGAAAATGCCCGTCTAAAGTCGTGTTCTTGTGTTTGAACCCTTCTCAAACTCTTTCTTGTCTACCCTTAGTTGTCAATAATCGAAAGCTAGTACCACAGCTCTCTCTTCTCTTCCATCACCACCAACCCATCTTCCACGGCATCATCACCATGTCAACAAACCCCAACACCGTCAGCCAACCCGGGGCCGAGGGACAAGACCCCTCAGACTACAAGCCTCAGCTTGATCAAATTGCCGAGCAGAAAAGAAAGGGTCCCGAGGAGCAACAACAAACCCAACAAAGCGGAGCAAGCGGGATCGTTGACAAGAGTATGCCATAACCCAGTCTTCGTCGTCCAACATCCGTCTGTAACATCCCAAGCTTACCTATCATTACTTGTGCTACAAAAACAAACAGTCTCGGAATACGTCCCAGCATCAGTTAGCGAAACGATTGGACTAGGAAAGAAGCAGCAGCAGCAGCAGCAGCAAGAAGAGATGAAGCCCAAGGAAGAAGACTTCAGCGCTGTACCACCGCACCGTCCTCATCACGATGAACAGATTCAAGAGTTCATTAGGGATCAGCATCGGAGCAAGGAGATTTTGGGTGATGATGAGGAGACAAAGGGTAATTGAAGGGTTAGGGGCTGAGGGGTGATAATTAGCAAGCGGGAGGGGGTTCGAAAGATAGCGAGTGCGGTTTCAATAATGACTGACTACAATCACATGTTCAAAGTACAACCGTCTCTTGAACTCAACTTTAAACCGTGAAAAACCTCTCCAACAATCTTAGTAATCATCATGGCATCCTTTACTTCGACTTAAAGTGACAACAACATCGTCGATCTCTTCTCCTTATGTAACATCAAGGCGGCCCGCATGAGGACTGAATGACAGGTCCCGAGTCGACTCTGAGACCCCCGGGAAGCGGGAAGCGTCAACCCCGCCCCCCGCTTTCATACTAGCATCATGTCCTTGCCTGTCTCGTCCCCCTCAACACTACCAAGGGTCTTCCGGCATCCTCCCTCCTCCATCTTCTTCCTTTCGAAATCCTATTTCAATATTAACCTGACTTCCAAGTTTGCCTCTGATCCACTGACTGTCGATCATCAACCGGTTGACAAACTTGTTGAAGCTCAACAGAACTTTGAACATCCCGGACTTCCATCCACTTCGTCATCATTTTTGAATCATCTGCATTATCGATAGATATCCGGAGCGTCTCCTCGACAGCTTATAACTGAGAACCACCACTTTATCCAACTTTGATAAACATTCACGTCTTCATCATACTAGACATATTCTACAATACATAGACGAGAATCTTACCAACCTTACACTCTACCATAACCCACCAAACCCATCCATCCAATATCTTACAACCAGCCACCTTCCAAAAATGTCCAACCGACACTTCATCAACGACCCCCAACACCTCGTCCTCACATCCCTGCAATCCACCACCCTCCTCAACCCCGGCGTCGCCCTCGACGCCCACAACAAAATCGTCTACCTGCGTCCCGGCTACGGCCATGCCTCCTCCTCCTCCAACCAAAGACAAAAAGTCTCCCTCATCTCCGGCGGCGGCTCCGGCCACGAACCTTCCTTCTCCAGCATGGTCGGCCGCGGTCTCCTCTCCGCCTGTGTAGCAGGTACTATCTTCGCTTCCCCCTCTGCCGAACAAGTCCGTACAGCGATCATGGGGCGGGTTGAAAACAACGAGCCCTCCTCCTCCTCCTACTCTCCTGAACATGGACAACAACAGGGAGGAGAGGATGCGGGCGGGGTCCTGGTGGTAGTCATGAACTACACCGGCGACGTGCTCAACTTTGGCCTAGCCGTAGAAAAAGCCAAAGCCGCGGGGGTGAACGTGGAGATGGTGGTTGTCGGGGATGATGTCGGTGTTGGACGGACTAAAGCTGGGAAAGTAGGGAGAAGAGGCATTGCGGGGACGGTGTTGGTCCAAAAGATTGCGGGAGCGTTGGCTGCGCAGGGACGGAGTCTGAAGGAGGTGACAAAGGTGGCCAATTTGGCGGCGCAGAATATCGTCAGTGTCGGCGCCAGTCTGGAGCATGTGCATGTTCCGGGGAGAAGGGCGGAGGCGGAGGGCGCCGAGTTCAAGGTGTTGAAGGAGGGCGAGGTGGAGATTGGCATGGGGATTCATAATGAGCAAGGGAGCAGTAGGGAGAAGGGGATTGGGTTGCCGGAGTTGGTGGGGAAGATGCTGAAGCAGTTGCTGGATCGGAACGATGAGGACAGGGCGTTTGTGAATGTGAATTCGAATGAGGTGGTGCTGTTGGTGAACAATCTCGGTGGTGTCAGCCCGTTGGAGATGGGCGGGATTGTCACCGAGGTGGTGACGCAGTTGGCGGAACAACCGTATGGGATCAAGCCCGTGAGGATCCTGAGCGGCACGTATATGACGAGCTTGAATGGGTTGGGATTTAGTATCTCGCTGTTGAATGTGGTTAACACGGACATTGGCGGACCGGGCATGATTGACCTGCTGGATTACCCGTCTGAGGCGACGGGTTGGACAGCGCCCATCTCCAAGCTGACTTGGGAGGAGCAGCGGGAAAACAAGAATACCCGGGAGAATGAGGTCAAGTCCGAGGAGGAGGTGAGGCCTTGTGGTCTAACGTATGATCCCCAGGAGGCGCAGAAGCAGCTGGTTGCCGGTCTGAAGGCTGTCATCGCCGCCGAACCGGATGTGACCAAGTACGACACCATGGTGGGTGATGGTGATTGCGGTATCGGTCTGAAGCGCGGCGCTGAAGGTATGTCTCCCTAGCAACAACCCCCCTCCTTCTTTTTCTAATGACTAACAAAATACCAGCAATCTTGTCGCATCTCGACTCCAACCCCCTAACAGGCGATGCAGCCATTGACCTCGCCAAGATCGTCACCGTAGTCGAGCAAACCATGGATGGTACCTCCGGTGCTCTCTACGGCATCTTCCTCAACGCTCTGGTCGCCTCTCTCCACACTGTCGGTGGAGGGGAGTCGGACAAGAAAGCTGCTGACGAAAATGCCTGGGCCGCAGCACTCAAACTGAGCTGTGAGGCCCTGTCCAAGTATACGCCCGCTCGTCCCGGTGACCGCACCCTGGTCGATGCCCTCTATCCCTTTGTCGATGCGCTCGAAAAGACCGGTGATGTGAAGAAGGCGGCCGAGGCTGCCAAGCAGGGAGCTGAGGGCACCAAGGGTATGAAGGCCAAGCTGGGCCGCACCGTCTACATTGGCGGGTCTGGATTCGAGCAGGTGCCGGATCCGGGTGCTTGGGGATTGGCAAAGTTCTTCCTTGGACTGGCTGGAATTGAAAAGTCTGATGATTCCAGTGCTAAGCAGGCCAAGGGATCGGATGATGGATGGGAGGAGGTTACAAGAGAGGCGGAATTGCCGTAAGAATGGCGCTGTATGTGATCATGATATACCCCTAGGTAGTTAGTTTGCACCGCCATTTCAATGTGACGTACCAGAAAAACCATGGAGAATCATCCCGTTCAAGCTTTAGCTCGTCGTTAAAAAGCAAAAGAAAACATGACGGGGTCTGCAAGAACCTAAACACGGTTTGGGTGTTCTGCTCGATCAAGTTACCAGAAATGAAAGATAAAGAGTTAAACAAAACCAAATACACGTTTGAACGCCGAGCTCACACTAGTTTTCCCTTTGTATGACCTTCCTAATAGCCCCTGAAAATCTGCTTGGGTTTCTCTTCTTTCCTCTCGTTCCTGCGCGGCGCCTTTTCACGGGGCGTTTTGAGTTGCTTTCGTGGTTGTGTCGTCATCATGGTCGATCGAGCGGTTGAGTAGTAGTAAGGTGATATAGTCCGCATGCCTCTCGATTCGGTCGACCAACAATAGGTACCTTCCCGGTCTCGATTTCCACTCCATTCGAACCATTAACCCTAAGTTGTGCTGGCGCGTATCTTCGCCGTGCAAGTGAAATAAACCTCCAACCTAAAGATTTTGCCGTGCTATTCGTAAACTAGCTTAGGAGGACAAGGATGACGGAATCGCCTCTCAAGAACCTGCCAGGAAAGTGAAACATGTCAGCCGTGGGTCTTTGCTTCTTCTTCTAGGAGAGAAGAACAACAGATGAAAAGGGAGTGCACAAACATCTTGCTGATAAACCTGTCCTTGTTTACGGGCTTGCCCTTCTTGCCATTGGCCAGTCGGGGCGTCTCGGTCCACATCTCCTTGACGTTCTCCAGCACCATGTTCATGTGGCGATCGAAAGCCTTGACGCGCGCAAGGATCTTGCGCCCATTGCGGACGGAAATGAGGACCTGGGAGTGGCTGCGAACGGCGGTCTGAAGGATGGACTGCGGAAAAGGGTGTCATATTAGTCGCTGCTCCGTGTCGAAAGGGGTGTGGATCAAAGCTTATAGGGCATATGTACCAGAGGACCGGCGGAGAACTCGTGCTCTTCGAGGAGAGAAACTTCGTATTCACTGTATCAGACGAGTTGATTAGCTTTGTGGTTTGGCTGGGCGGGCGTCGTGGTCTTGGGTCGCAAAGAGGAGGAGCTGGGAGCAGCAGGGCGGGCGAGATGACGATGGTAATAGAGGGAGGTGATGTTGACAAGAGGATATAACGTACGTAAGCTCATTGCGCGGCTTCGTGAGAAGCTCCCTATATAGTAGGCAGTTGTTAGTCAAGTTGGTTTCGTTGGAACGTCCATGGGCTGCCCGCGCACATGGGTTGATGCTGGAGGATGGGATAGCTACTAACTGAATCTTTGCATCCGCTGAAGTCATGACGATGGTGTTTTGGTCTGGAGTTGAATTGGAGTGATACTGAAATGTAGGAGGGGCAGAGAAGCTGTGGTTTCGTCTTTGTATCAAAAATGCTTGTTGACGTCGAGTTGTTGCTTCGCGCGGTATGGGTTGGTGGTGTACGGTAGAAGCCTGGACAATAGTTGCTGTAATGGACGGATGCTATCGCTATCTTCAATCCACGAAATGTTGCAGCAGCGGACGGCCAGGCGCGGCGGCGACTCGGAGCGTGGAGCTACAGCACACGCGCCAAGCTTTTCTGGGAACCGTCTTCAAAGTTTGGCGATTGGATGACAAGCTCATGGTGGATCCCAATGCGAAAGGCTGAGGACCGCTCCGGTGACAGGTGCTGCCAGCCCCGCCGAACCCGACATGCTCCCCCGGACAGCCGGGGCATCGGGTTTCCAGTGAGCGGAGGGCCCGAGCGTCGCTTCTGGAAAATGACAAGTTTAAATGGATATCATCGGCCGGAGGATATTCCAGATTCTAGTGATAGCGGCGGGGATTCGGCAGGTTCCACAGCTACACTATTAGGTAGCTCCCCCGTAACCCCGCCCCGGGGATTGCCAGGCGCGGTGCCCTTGAAAATCAATTGAAAGCTGGAGCTCCATTTCGCGTTGAATTCCGGAGCAGCAAAAAGTGGATTTGCAGATACTCTCGCTATCACTTATCACGGTTCCTGCGTCCACGCGGCATTCAGATCATTGGTGATTGTTCTCCCGTTTTCCCTTTCCCAGCCCAGGAAAACGAGTCCCGAAAAAAAGTGCCCAAGTCCCTTGGCCGGTCTATGATGCAACAACGGTGCTAAACAGCCTCGGGGTGGATTTTGGACTTAGTATTTTTTCTTCCATATTGACCCTGGGTCTTGTTATTCCATTCCTATTCTAGACAAAGCCAGCCGACAGCCAGCCAATTACCGAAGTGTACATCGATGTTGGTCTCCAAGTCCATTGCCAGCCGCGCCGGCTTGGCTTCTGCTGTTGCTTCTCGCAGCTGCCGACCAAGCTTCACCGCGATGCCGCTCAGAGCCAAAGTCCTGGGCCAGCAGGCCCCAGTAAGACGCTCCTTGGGAAGACAAAAGCCATGGACACGGACACAGCTAACACGCTCGCCGCCCCCTCCTCCCAGATCTCGACCCAAGCCGCCGCCGAGTTGTTCAAGCCCGTCGAGGGTGACGAGCCCGAGGATGTCCTCTTCAACAGTCTATACAATCTCCGCTCCGTCGAGCTCAACCGCCCAGCCAAGTACAACGCCCTCAATGGCTCCATGATCCGCAAGATCGCGCCCCGTCTCCTCGAATGGGAACGCTCCGACATGGCCAACGTCATCGTTATCAAGGGCTCCGGAGAGAAGGCCTTCTGCGCCGGTGGTGATGTTGCCGCGCTGGCCAAGCAGAACGCCGAGGGCCCCGAGGGCATCAAGAAATCCGTCGACTATTTCGGCCTCGAATACAAGCTCAACCACCTGATTTCCACCTACACCAGGCCTTACGTGGCTTTCCTCGACGGCATTACCATGGGAGGTGGTGTTGGTCTCAGCATCCACGCCCCCTTCAGAATTGCGACCGAGCGCACTGTCTTCGCCATGCCCGAGACCAAGATTGGCTTCTTCCCCGACGTCGGCGCCTCTTTCTTCCTCCCCAGGATGCCTGGCCAGGTCGGCCCCTACCTCGGTCTCACCAGCGCCCTGCTGAAGGGTGTCCAGGTCTACTACGCCGGCATTGCCACTCACTATCTTCACTCGAGCAGTCTGCCCGCCCTGGAATCCCGTCTTGCCGAGCTTACCCCCCGGGACTACTGGACCATAGAACAGCGCCTTAGCGTCATCAACGACACCATCGAAGAGTTCTCCACCGGTGTCCCCTACGACGAGAATATCGAAATTGGCGGTAAGATTCGCCTTGCTATCGACCGTTGCTTCAAGTACGACAAGATCGACGAGATCATTGCCGCCCTTAAGGAGGAAGCCGCTGAAGGCGCCAAGGGAGGCGTTCAGAGCTGGGCCAAGAACACCCTGGAGGAGCTCACCCAGCGCTCCCCTACTTCTCTCCATGTTACGTTGCGTCAGATGCGCCTCGGCAAGTCTTGGGGCATTGCTCACACGTTCAAACGCGAACACCAGATGGCCGCCAAGTTCATGAAGTCTCACGACTTCAATGAGGGCGTCACCGCATTGCTCATTGACAAGGGGGCGAACGGACCTGCCAAGTGGAAGCCGGCTTCGCTAGACGAGATCCCGCCTGGAGCCAACATCTCTGAGGACTACTTTAGGAACGACCCAGAGGTCCCTGTGTTGGAGCTGCTCAACGACAGATCCTACATGCAGTATCCCTACAACAAGTTTGGCCTGCCCAACGATTACGACGTCAAGGAGGCGATAGAGAAGGGCAACTTCACCCGGGAAAAGCTCATCGACCACTTCGTCGAGACCAGGCGTGGCAAGCAAGGTGTTCGGGAAGCCGTTTCTGACGTCCTCGATCGTATGGCCGTGCGGAGCAAGGGTACTGAGCATGTCCAATGGAAGAAAGAGTAGAATGGACAAAGATGCTAAGGAGTGGTCGGAGAAATGCTCGTTGTACGATAACCCACCGTGTTGATAATGATGATGATTGCCCCATCCGGCCAGGCTACCTTGTTGTCTCAGTTGCCATTTTCCGCTTTTGTGTCGAGGATCTCCCGAATTCACAACACGAAGGTTTACTCAGTGTTATTCTATGGATGGCGATAGTACTGTTACGGCTACTCTTACTTTCACAGCGACTATACCTTGATCTTTTCTCAGTGCCGGGCCCTAGAGTCTGAAACCCAGCGGCATGCTGTGTGCTTCAGTCACGATCTTGGACTTCTATCAGTGGTACCACCGGCCTCTGGTAGAAAAAGCTGTGTTGCACATAATATTTCATGCCTATACCCTAGACCTGATACATCTCATTCAAACTAGTCTCATCCCCTTCCCGAGGCATCACTTCCATGATGAAACCCTCTATACAATTCCCCAAAAACACTACCATTCCCCTCCCTCTCACCTTGAGCCCTCTCAATCAATGCCCTCGGCTCCCCAAACTCAACCATCTCCCCACTCTTCAACACCGCCACTAAATCAAACCTCTCAATGTACGTTAGCCGATGCACCACCGCAATAACCGTATGCTCCTTAAACTCTGTGTCAATAACTTGCTGCATCACCGCCTCCGTCTTCTCATCCACACTACTCATCGCCTCATCCAGCACCAAGATTCTCCTCTGATCCTTGAGCAGCAACGCCCTCGCTAGCGCCAGCAGCTGCAGCTCGCCGACGGACCATTCCGAGGTGACCAGCTCGCTGTCGAGAGTCTGGCCGTTGGCGGTTACGCGGCCCGGCCAGAGGGTGACGAGTCGGAGGGCGGATTCCATCTTGGCGGTTGCCTCAGCAGGGGGCAGGTGGGAGAGATGGCCGAAGGGATCGAGGTTGAAGGCTAAGCTGGTGTTGGGGATGAAGAAGGGGTCTTGTGGGATCACATTGAAGATGTGACGGGAGCGAGGGATGGTGGAGATGTTGAGGGAGTCGATGGTTATGGATCCGGAGGAGAGCGGGATCATGCGTAGAAGGGAGAGGAGGAATGTGGTTTTTCCGGAGCCAGAGGGGCCGATGACTGCTAGTTTGGACCCAGAGGGAATGGTAAGGGTGAGGTTTTTGAGGGCTGGAGGTCCGCTAGTGTTTGTGTTGGTGTTAGAGGAGGTATTGCTAATTGCACGGGAGTAGGTTGTTAGTTTGTTTACTTATTCAGGGGCAACATGGGGAAGGGGGTGGGTGACACATACCCGTAACTGGCACAGATCTTTTCGATCTTGATCTCACCCCTGGAAGGCCATGCCGTCAATCCATCTCCAACGCAGCCACCATTGTCATAGTCCGCGGCCGGATCATCTTCCTTCGGCGTCGTCCTAACAAAGTCCCTTACCCTCGCGACCGCCCCGATCGACGTTTCCAACCTCGTCCACGCCTGCAACGCCTGCACAATCAGCTCATTAAACGTCATGACCAGCACCAACGACACACCTAAAGCCCCTGCACTGACAGCCGACTTCAACGACCCTGCTTTCTCCGGATCCGGCGCCACCCCAACCGCCACACCCACCAACACAACCGCCATCCCGCCGACCACCAAATCCAACACCAGCGCCAGCCACTGCTGGATACAAGCCAGCATATAAAACGGTTTCTGTGCCTCATCCATCATCCTCGCCAATCTGTCACGGAACCTCTTATCCCACCCAAATGCGCGAATGGTAGCTACACCCCCCGCCGTTACTGTTTCGAGGAAGTGCTTGTACACGGGCGCCTTGGCTTCGATGTCTAGCAATCGCAGCTGTCGTGACGACCGCAGGTAGTACTTTTGCACGAGAAATAGGGTGACGGCGAGTAATGGAACGGTGGCGGCTAGGTATTTTCCCAGGACGCAGATGATGATTAGCTGGACGAGGGCGTAGGAACCGGCGCTGGTGAACATGATGGCTTGGACGGGGAGGGTCATGTCTATCAGGTCCATGTCTTGGGAGAAGCGGTTGGTTATGGTACCGCTGTCTTCTGAGCTTGCGTTGTTTTTGTCGTCGCCGTTTGAGTCTGTGGGTGACGACGATGACGACGACGACGACGACGACTGGGAAAAGAAGGAAAGCGGTGCGGAGAGTACGGAATTCAAAAGGTCCGTGTGAAGAGACAGGGCCGTGTTACTGATGATGTTGATGAGAAAAACGAAGCACTCGCCTACGATACCAATTTGGGCGAGAACGACGAGGAGCGTGTAGATACCAAGATAGTAACCTAGATTTGGATGCGGATCGGGATTGGAGGCCGAAGGGGTGCTGGCGGAGCTCCAGTTAGAGATCCAAATGGTCATGTAGTTGGATGTTATGGCACCAAGGATGGTGAAGAAGGCCCAGAGAGAGAGACTGAGGGCGCCGGCGCTACGAGCGTAGTAGGCGTACACGGACCAGCTTCCTTGACGACGTTCGAAATTAGGCTTGGTTGCTTGTCGGGTTGTTGTGTCTGAGGGCTTTTGTGTCGTGGCCGGGCTTTTGCTGTCCCTTGATACCTCGTCTGTTGCAGACTGCTGCTCCTCCCCGGACTCGATAACATCGTCGTCGGTCATGGCCATGAGCTTGAGATCACCTCGCGATTGGATCTCGCTGTATGAGCCGATATCCGCGAATTTGCCGCCTTCGAGTACGATAATCTCATCCATATAGGGGAGAAGGCGCTCTGGAAACCCAGTCAATAACGCGGTGATGTGATGGTGTAAGGAAGAGACTTACTATTATGAGTTGCAAGTACAACCGAGACACCCGCCTTACGAAGATGGCCTTGCCTGCTAAACAATCTTGTGGTAATATCCTTAGCAGTCGCAGGATCCAGGCCGCTCATAACATCGTCGAGGATAATAACAGGAGCACAAGAGTATACAGCTCTGGCGAGGGCTACTCTTTGCCGCTGTCCTCCGCTCAACGAAGAGCCATTCGTTCCGACGACTGTTTGGTCACCCGCTACCATACCGTCGAGATCACGACGGAGTCCGCACGATAGAATACACAAATCGTACCATTTCTGGTCGATCTCAAAGTCCTCGCTGCTGCCGGTGATGTTGTGTCGGATGGTATCGTTCATGAGCCAGGCTGCTTGTGGGCAGTAAGCTGCCCGGGAGAAGTTGGTGGTGACAGATCCTCGCTGCAAAGTCGTCTCTCCTACCAAGCTCTCTAGAAGCGTGGACTTCCCTGAACCAACTGGACCGATAACTGCCGTAAACCCCGGCTTGATAGTCAAGTTAACACCTTGAAGTACTGGCTCGATGGTATTTGCTGACCAGGAGATGTCCGCAGCTGCAAACGAGGCGAGTGCCCCAGGTGTCGTTTCACGGGCCAACGGTCTCGAGCCCACCACGCTTCTTAGCTCTGTGCCACTCTCAAAAGAGGCTCCCGCCGACCGTCCCCTGTCCTCAACCGAGGATAAATCCGATTGTTTTAACTCCTGTTTAGTCAGATATGTCTCAATGCGGCCAAAGCACGCCACGGCCTGCATGGCAGCTGGGAAAGCTTGACAGAACATAAGCAAAGGGGTTGTTAACAGGTTAATGAGCGAGAGAGAGGCGAAAGCTTGTGCTGCTAGTAGGTTTTGGTCTTTCTTCACTGCCGACATGATACCATAGACGACGAAAGTCGCGTAGGGGGCGACACCGTTTCCTGGTGCGTTGGCTATGTGTAGGTTAGCTTCATGGCCCGAATCCGGTCTTGTCTCCCGGTGTGGCGGGAGTAGGTATTGACTTACAAACTTGGATATTCCAAAGCAAATATTTGCGGAATTTCTCTGAAGTCTTCAGCTCGGCTCTGCGTAAGCCCTCGATGATATTACCTAGTACGCCGGTAAGTCCCAGCATCTTGACGGCTTTCATGTCACCGAGCATGTTGGCCGTGACGGCGACTCGCTTCTGGACTCGCTCGTTCCATGCTGCTTGTGCAGGCCCGGTGCCTGCTCCGATGAAGGATGCTCCGACGACGCATACTTTGAAAGGTTGAGTCTGATATCAGCTTATTTGTCCCATCATAAAGTAGAGGTTGTACATGTAGAAAAGAGATCAGAGAGCCGGTTAGGAGAGCTCAACTTACCCAGGCAGATCACTAGTGGAACGATGGCAGCATACGATACCTGGCGAGCCAACAACCAGATGGCAATGCCAACGCCCGGTACAGATGCCCACAGCTCGTGAACATTCTTGATACTCGTGACAATACGTTCCACATCCGTTCCCATTAGAGTGACTGCTGCAGAGTCCTTGACGTCAACGGCCCGAAGAGCAGTGGTATGCTGATAAACCATAGCGATAAGTCCTGAGCGGATTCGAGCAATCATCCGGTTCGTTTGTCGCCAGTATATCGCTCTTGAAACCTACACCCATCACGTCGGTTAGCGGTGTCCAATTCATGAAAGAGTACATATCGTGATAGTATCACTCACAGCAATACCAATATACAACAACACAAACCCGCCCACCAACGCTCTCCCAAAATATTCCGGCTGCGGCGCCTCAATCTCCTCATCCCCACGCTCTCCCCCCTTCCGCTCCCTCGAAGCCAAATACCCAACAACCGCCTCAATCAAAAACGGTTGACAGAGACTAAACCCCAACAACGCCAACCTCGGCACCACCGCCGACCAGAAAGGCCATTTGTTCGCCTCATACGCCGCGCGAATCAGCATCCACCCTTTCTTCTTTTCCCCAGCCCCCTCTCCCTTTCCTTCCTCCTTCTCTTGCTTCCCACTGTTCCCGCTCTTCGCCTGGCTTTGTTGTGCCAGTAGTAGCAACCTCCTAAAAACCTCCTCCATTTCACCCCCCGCGCTCTCCACCCTCAACTCCCCATCCACTCCCGGAATATCCCCCATCCCCAAAGTCTGCTTATACCCGACCTGCAAGAACGGTAACAACCAAGCAAAGAACCCACGGCTCCAAAACCCGGCTGTTTGCTCCTTGGTGACGACAATGTGTTTGTATCGCGGTTGGAGAAGCGTGAATTTGCCAAGGGACTCGGTGACGGCGGCGAGGGTGGTGAGGGCGAAGATGAGGGTCCAGAGGACTTGGAGGACCAACAAGTGGGGGATGGGGTTGATAGGGCTAGCGAGGGAACTGGGGGAAACATGAAGGAGGTAAAGGGTGCGAAGGCGCGGGATGAAGAGGATGGTGGAGGCGGAGAAGTAGATTACCAGGAGATCGGAGGGGTGGATGGTGCGTTGGTCTTCGAGGAGGGAGAGGAGGGTGGACGAGACAAGGGAGATGGTGGTAAGGAGGGTGGCGGGGAGGGAGAGGGTGGTCCGAAGAGATTTGGTAGTGTAGATGGTGTTGAGAACGTGGAGGGTAAAGAGGGCGGAGAGGAGCGTCTGCGATAGATGTTAGCTGTGGTTCGGACTGGTGTTTGTGGTGGTGGTGAAGGAGTACTGAAAGGGACGGAACCTACCAATTTCCCAATTGCCAACCGCCTTGAAGTGAGTTTAACTGGACTCTTCCATAACGACCAAAACCGCCATGGAACGGAAAGGAGGAACAAAACAGCTGGGAGAAGCATGAAGAAGCCATCTTCGAAGAGCAGGGTGAAGTCAAACTCTCGACATGCTGCATTGACCCGGGGACCGAACTGTCGGTCTGCCTTAAGCCCGGATAAACAGGCATCGCCGCCGGGCAGTGTTGATGCCATTGATGTTGGTTCGTACCTCTCTACCAAGTTGGTGAGGATGAGGATGCGAATAGCTTCATTTCCGTCTGTCCAAATGAGATGCCCAGGATATCTTATACGTTGCTCAATATGTTAGAGATACGAATTGAGCCGCTGCCCCCCTGGCACGGGAGAATGATAGCGCATGCGCGGCAGCGGCCAACGACAACACCACGCTTGTTTGTTAATCCAGATTAGGAAGGTGAATGTAATCTTGGCCGAAGGCCTACGCGTTCTCGGCCTTCCAGTACGTAGCTGTCCGCGAGAGCACTATCTGGCTTTTGATTGTTAGCTTCTATGTTTCTCTCTTCTGTTTATGTGGTAGACTCTTGTTATTTGACATGTCACATCACAGTCCTGAAGGTTTGTTGACATCGGCAGAATGAGTCATGGACTCGTTAGCATGACTTGGTGCGAAGAAGCAGTCAATTCGAGCACACCTCATGGGCTTCAGGAAGGATTCGCTTATTCCAACAAACATTGTTTCCGCCCACTGCAACCCACCCCAATACCTGCAGGTTCGATTTGGTCACTTCATATAATTTATCAGTATCACACATTACTTGCTGGCCGTCTCGTCAACAAGATGTTTTAGTACTCATATCCTATTAGTTATAAAACTAAATCCGCCGATCCAAATACGACATTATGCGTATACCCAGAATCAAAGAACCCGAACCCAGACTGAAAGTCGTTGAACACGCCTAAAAAAGGAAAACATCGAAAGGTTGCTTGGCTTAAGCAAAGTTAAATAACGCCAACGCCGCGCCAACCAACAATCCCACGCTCGTCTTCAAGCTCATCGTCCTCGCCCGCGGCGCACCAGCCGTCTGAACCGGCATCTGTCCACCAGTCTGCGACGGCACCATCACCACAACACTAGTAGACATGGTCGGCTGAGGGCCCGGTCCCGGGGCAGGGCCAACATTGGTTGGGATAGGACTCTGAGTCGGCATCGTGAAGGTCTGGGTAGGTCCGCCATGGCAGGCATTGCAATCGGTGACGGTAGTGACGACGAATCCGGGAGGGACGACTCCCGTGGGCTGGGCCCATGAGTCCCGGTCGCCGGTGCACTCCTCGGTGACGGTGTAAGTGGCATGGCAAGGGCCGGGGCCGTGGTGGCAGGGAGTAGGGAGGGTGACGCAGTATTCGGTGGTGAAGACGGGGGCGGCGGTTTGAGTCTCGATGGGCTCGGCATCGCAAGACCAGAAGGTGGCGGAGGTGAGAGGGCCGTGGGAGGCAACGGCTGGAGCAGCGGACATGGCAGCCGCGGCCGCTGATACGGGAGCGCCCCAGGAGCTGTGATGATATGTGTTAGTGATGGGTTTCTTGGCGTCGTGAGGGCTCCTGGCTCGACTTACTCCATTTTGTATGTGGAAGTGATTAAAAATATACTTGAGGTTGATATGAAAAAGCGAAGAGGACAGAGAAAGAGATACCTGGGAATATAGAAGACTGTTCGAGTGTCGGCTCACTGGACTAACGAGTGACTGGTCGTTGCAGAACGATGGGATGGAGAGAGAGAAAGCAGGAAGGAGTATAAACGGTCAACATCGTCCAAGGTCTTATACCGCAACCACTTGTCGTTGTGATCTTGTACCTCGCTCACTTGAGTTCCATGTGCAGTGTTTACGCTCATTGTTAACCGAGAGCACAGCCCGGAAACATTTCTCGCCAGCCATCTCGGCGGCCGGTGGTGGTGGTCGTGGAATGGGAAGACATTACCCGCATTCCGAATCTCAGGGTTGTGTCTCACCTCCTCAGCTGCTGCCCAAACCGATGCCGTACAGATGACAGTCAAGGCCATGCGCCGGGCGGATTTCGAGAGCATGCCGAGCATAACGTAGCGTCATCTGGGAACAATTCGCGCCATCAGTGGTGAGGTTCCTGGAGAGGACTGAGACCGTGAAATTAAGAGCATCGAACAGCAAATGTGACTCCGAGTCTGAGAAAGTTCAATAAACAAATACCATCAAAACAAGGAATTCTTTGCATTTGACAGCAAACAGTGTACGCGTGTGCGTAATATCCTCAACATCTCATGGGCCCTGGCATAGCATCGTGAATTCCGTGTCCTGGGAGGTTTGGAACTTGACAAAGTTGTGATCAAGTGCACGGAGGGTATGGATCGTGCACACCAAGATCCTCCACTCGGGCAATAAACTTCGACAGACATCGACGGAATGAACACAGCAACACACTGCAATCGCAAACGCGAACAAGGCATATCAGCTCGCTCTTAACATGAGCGTCGTGCAAGAGCAGTCACAAGAAGCAGAACCCCCAGATCGTGTCAACTTGCCAAGCAGAAAATAACACTTGGGCAAGTGGGAATGTCTCCAATCTATCAGCACTTCATCGCCCACAGTGTAAAGGGCGTGAAACTTCCTATCAAGGAATATCTATCTCCGAAGCGCGGAGTCCTAAAGAGGACCCCAGGCAACTCGACACCGTTGGTACTAGTGAAGGTCGTGGCAGCTTCGTGTATACTTTTTGATCTAAGGAAAAAAAAGAAGAAAAAGAAGCTTCAAAAGAGGTGCGGCCGAGATTGGTTTTATACCCTTACTCTTGGGAGGAGCGCCCCACTGGCCCGCCAGATTTTTTGGTGGGGGCTAGACCGTTTTTGCGTGGATCTATGGCTGGCGAGAAAGTGGCTTTCGTGTGGTCGTATGGATCGATAAGTTGCTTCAAGTTGTGGCTTGCATAGATAGCGGCTGCACCACACTGAAAGTTGCCTGCCGCTGCCGCTGCCGTCCCCTGCCTTCCGCAACGCAATGCAGCAAAGCGACGGAGTTGTTCACGCCAAGCGGTCGCTGTCCATCCCTGACCCTCGTCGTCTGGGCTTCGCTTCAAAGAACCGACGAGAACCTCGACGACCTAATTGCGAATCCATCCGTAGCTGAACAAATACAACTTCGAGAATTATCCTCCATCTATCCGAATTCGGTGTCCCACTTGCGACCGAAGTCTGTCTACGAATCAATCACTCGTAACCCAATCCGCGACACAGCGCGCTCCCAACTGCGAACTGCGAACTTCCCACAGTACCAACTGCAACATCTGAATCCAGGGCACCTTCGAGCCACGCGCGCGCGACGTGCGCCCGCTCTACAACGATGCCCTCAGACGACTATTCCACTGTTGCCCGCGGGCCTCTCAAACTCAAGGGCGTCGTGGCCGGGGGTAAAGTCAAGAAACACAAGAAGAAGAAGGACAAGACCGACCTGGAGAAGAACCTATCGACCGGCGACAACAAGTCACCAGTAACCAGCAATAACGATGATGACGAGAAGCAATTACAAAAGCGAGACTCGGAGAGTCTAGGCGCAGATATAGTAGACAACCAAGATGAGGAACGAACGAGAAGAGCAACAAGCCAAAGTCAGGAAAGGGAAGAAGACGACGAGACGAAAACTGAGGCGGAGAGGAGGTTCTTGGAGGCCAAGAGGAAGAGGGTACGTATTTCCTTTTCTCCCTCTTTCGCTGTCCAACAAGCCCAGCGCACCGCAGCATAATTCTGCAAGCCTGAGAGACACTAACTATACTGTAACAATAAAACAGCTAAAAGAAATGATGGAATCCGGCCGTGTTCGCCCCGAGCTGCTCAAGACACACAAGCAGCGCGTGGAGGAGTTGAACGCGCACTTGTCCCGCTTGAGCGAGCATCATGATATGCCCAAGATTGGACCTGGTTGAGAAAGCGGAGAGCAGCAAAAAGGAGAGAGAGAGAGAAAGGAAGACAGGAAATCCAGGCCACAAGAGACGAAGGGGAAACCAGCCCGAGGATGCCTGGGCTGGTATGTGGTATATGGTATGTGGCTTGCGGAACGCACATCAACCGGCAACTGCCCACTTTGCCCACCCAAAAGACGTGGCATCCACTGGCATACCAGACACGGACAGGCAAGAGAGGAGACGAAGAAGAGCTGATGGCCCGATGCTCGCGTGTCCGGTGAATTGAAATCCAGGACCCGGTAGCAAGATGTCAGACATCCAGTTAAACCGGGAACACTTCGCGGATGCCACTGCTGGCGGAACAATGTAAAGGCTGACAGAGTCGGATCCGAAGACATGTTCTCGTCAGACTCTGGCATGTCAATTGTTCCAGACGAGAAAGGTGGTTGATGTGATGACAGTTGATTTTGTGGCGGGGCAGCATTTGAATGGAAATGGGAATGCCCCGAGAGGCTGCAGATATTCACAAGGTTTCTATTTTTAAACACCGATCCATGATACCAATCAGAATTCTTTCTACACCATCTTACGTTCATACGAGCTGGACGTCAATCTGAGCTGTTCTTACTCGTGATGGTGTCAACTCCATGTGCTCTTGTCCTGAGCCTGGTTCCCTGTTCTCTTGCGAGACATTTGTCGGATTCACATCGACGAGTGTGTTTTACGGTACCAGTCTCAACAATGTTGATGGTCATTCTAATTCATTCCATCATACCATCCAGATACTATGTACGCACGTTGTCCGTTCTTATGTAAAAACCTATATCCCATCCAACCATTCCTCCTTTACCACGAGTTTCCCACTTCTTGAGGGTCACCCAGTGACAACCTAGCTCGCCCCTTTTGTCCTGCCTGCACATCGTACAGACCACAAATTATCCTGTTCCAAAACTGTAGATAGCCTAACCAAATCTCTATGCATGAACCTTTCCCTATACCAAATTACCAAATTGCCTCCTGCCACTTTTGTCACCAAGTATCGGTAAACAAATGCCCTTTTTTGTCCCAGGAAAAAAGAATGTGGATATACATCGCGACGACGGCAGCGCGCCGCCGCAGAAATGAATGCCTGTGTATATGTGTGTATGTGTGCGTGGTGTTGTTGTAAACCATGGAATGCAAGAACAACAGAAAAAGAATGTAAGTGACGTGACGTAAGTAACCGACGCAATGCAGTGCTAAGGCAAACGAAACGCAAATTTGAAAAGCCAAAGCCAAAGCCAAAACCCATATACCAAGACGAAAATAAAAAAAGCAACTTTATCCGCGCTCACGTTCAAGCAAGAGCAAAGCCGAACAATAGCGCTCCCAACACGACAGCCTCAACGACCATCAGCCACCGCCCCGATCCCGGCTGCTGCTGGAGAGAAGAGGCCGCATTCTCGGTCTGAAGGCTGGGAGACGCCCTGGTGGTGCCGGCGCCCACTGTGGGGGTAAGGTCGACGCGGACGGTGCTGGTCTGGGTCACGATGACCTCGACGCCGTCCGAGGTCGAGGTCAAAGTCTGGACGATGACCTTGGAGCTGGGGGTCATGGGCTCGTTGGGTTGTTGAGGCTGCTGGGTGGTCTGTGGTTGCTCGGTTGTCTGGGGCTTGGCCTTGGAGGTGGTGCTCAAGGTGGTTGAAGAGACTTAAGAGTTCCGTGTTAGTGGATGTTTTCAAGACTACAAGATAAACCGAGCCCTGAGCGCCGGAGTGTCTTCATGGATAAGGTCAAGGGGATGCATGAGGATTTACAGTAAAGAAGTGACACCGACGTAACCACAGTGACCGAGGAAGCTGATACTTCCTGGGATGTGGAGGACGTGATTAAAGAAGAAGAGGTGACACGTGAAGTGGACGTGGACGACGAACCAGAAGAGATGGTCGTAGCTGATGTGGACGACGCTGTCGTCGACACGGATGACACGACATCAGAAGATGAAGTGGTGGTGGGTGAAGTGGATGACGATGATGGTTCAAGAGAAGAAGAAGATCTGGATGAGGTGGACGACGAACCAGATGAAGAAGAAGTGGTGGAAGACACTCCGGCTTCAGAAGACGGCTCGGAAGACGACACAGAAGACGCAGAAGACGACGTTGATATCAGGACGAGAGTTCTCTCACTTTCGCTCACGGACGTACCAGTTGAGCTGGGGCTAGCCTGAGGTGCCGAGGAGGATGTTGACTTGATCGAAGTGGTCGAGGTGGTTGAAATGGTCGAGGTGGTCGAAGTGGTCGAAGTAGTGGTGATAGTGACGGGAGGAACCTGGGTGGTGGTTGACGGCTCGGGCGCAGGCACACTCGATGACGAAGAGCTGGTGGTGACTTGCTGCGCGGAGCTTGACGACGAAGTAGCCTGAGCGCTGGATGAGGCCGAAGAAGTCGGTTGCTGAGTTGACGAAGCGATGGTGGTGTTCGAGTCATCACGCTTGGCCATGCGCAAGACTGCTGTCGCAAGAGGGGCGTTGTCCCGGTGAACGGCCTCGATGGCTTGCTTCTCCGACTCCCATACTCCGTGCTGGAACCGCCCAGGAAATGCTTTGTGAAGGATGTTGTGAAGAGAGTCTTTCGATGCCGCATCCAGCAGGGACTGGAGGTTCTCGCCCTCCGCCGATGCAGCTCCCTCACGACACTGAACCCTCTGCTGCCACTTCGATGGTCCGGCCGATGTCAAGCCGAAGAAGAACAAGAGGCACAGAGTGACGCTCAAGAGAGCGCGCCTCGACGAGTTCATCTTGTTGTCGGTAGTGGTGTTGGTTGGTAACCTCTGGTCCTCTGGTCTCGTCGAGCGTGTCCTTGCGTCTTCTGATGCCGCCTTTTCAACGTCAACGATGGGAAGCGAGGCTCCGGAAGGGGGCATCTCGAGGGTTTTGTTCGGTCCCATGGTGGCTTGCCGAGGAAAGAGAGTAAGTCTGGGCGGCCTTGTCCTGCAGCAAATGGAGATGGTCAACGGGTGGTGATGTGTGGCGATCCCAAGTGGCTGCCCTATGGAATCGTCTGCAAGCTGTTGGCTGATGGGGCCGTTCTGGAGTCTCGTCAGGGCTGGGTTCCGTTCTTGGGAAGTCCCGGAGTGAAGATTGCGGTCAAGGTATCGAGAAGCTGCAGGACTTGAAACTCAAGGACAGAGATTCATCGACTGACTCCACGAGACGAGAAGAGAACTTTTGATTGCAGCAAGCCAGTTAATGGGGACTATTTTAGTGCGGTCGTCCTGCATCGATTGTAAGCACTGTGATCGTCCCGACTCGGTGTCTTCTTGTATCTTTCTTGTCCAGGAAGATGATGCGGAACGGAAATAATGGCCTGAGCTGGCTGGAACAGTAACGTTACCGGTCAAGTCAAGCCAACTTAAGCAAGACAAGAGGTAAAACAGGGCAACCCCCCAAGTCCACCCCCAAGTCCACCGAGAAGGAAGGGGATGAAGGAGCTCACTGTGAGCCATCGATCAGACTGGTTGAGGATGGCGAGGTGGGACACAAAACCTGAAGTTGGCGGAAAACGGAAAGGGCAAGAACTGAAGGGTGAGCGAAGGAAGCTGCTGGGTGATGCTTACCTGGCCAACGTTGCACTTGTACCGAGTGAGACAACTGAACGAACCTTCAACGACCTTTGCTATCTTTCTCTTCGTTCCTTCTTCTGTTCTTCACGCAGTTGCCTTTGGTGTTATTCACAGGTTGTTCCTGCCTCTGCCATTATGGAGTACACTAACTAAGTATGGTCTATACACACGATATAGGTAAAATTAATGATAGGACACTCTTCCTGATCCCTTCCACAGTAGATCCTCCTCGCTCCTTCTTCTCCCAACTTGTGTGTTCTTCCAACTTTCCCGCCCATGTTCCAGCGGTCTGGATTGGTCTGTCCAGACTGGCGTTTCCTTGCTCGCTTGTACAGTAGGTACTTACTCAACATGGTAACTTTCCGAGTCCCTGCCATCATGACGCGGCAGCTGGCCCGTATTGATCGTATTGAGTGGATGAATACGGCGAGACGGCATGGGGTGGGGGCTGTTGTTGCGGCGCTCTTTAGCCTCTGTTGATCGGTCCAACATGGCGCAAGTGGACGCCGACAAGGGCCAGGGAGCTTCACTTTTTAGTGCTGTGGACAAGGTGCAGCTGTCATTATCTTTCCTTTCAGACAATGGCTGGAGCCGCCAAGCTTCACCCCAAAACCCATAGACTGCGAGCGCCAAGATTTATCGGTAGCAAGAAATCCGACGAACCGACCTTAGATACCTCTGCGGCTCGCAAAAGTTGAAACGGCCATCTGAAAAGACGCGCGGGAAGCCATGACGGTGGTTGCCTACCGCTACGAAGCCTGCTTCCCATTTGTGCGCCTCGGCACCTCCCCCGGGCAGTGGGGGGATGCCTTGCCCAAAGAGGAGATGGTTTCACGACATAAAAACCAAAGGGGGAACCTTGGGGATCTCCCACTCAGAATCAATTGCGAATCAATTGTACCCGAGAGACGCGCGGGCCACGCTCCCAAGGCTTCGTACTTTTTGTGAGAATCTGGATGCTTCGTTCGTGTTCGAATCAGCCAATCCCCCGTGTTGAAGCTGCCACTGCAGGTTCACAGCCTCCTGAATGAGCTTGAAGCTCGATGGGATTTGAGGATATCTACACGACGATTACGGCAGGCGGGTCGCTAGTGCGGATGAAAAGCTCCTTTGTTACCACCTCACTTTCGGAGTTGCAGGAGGGGGATCACCCAAACTCTGAGCTTGGCAGCAGAGAAGCTTGGGTCGAATGTGGTCCACTTACCATGTTATGTTGGCACCTGCTGTTTCCAATTTCCCAGCCATGCCATTTTTTGTTTTTATTCTTTTCGGAAAGCGCTATGTTGTGTAGTTGGTAGGTGACCCTCACACGGGAACGTATTTTTCCTTTCTTTCTTTCTTTCTTTCTTTCTTTCGTTGGTTGGTACCAGAGGGGCTGGATGGCTGCATGTCGTCGCTCCGTCGCCGCTCTGGTTCGGCGAGGGCGCTGACAAGCTGAACGAACTTGAAGTGTTATCCGATCTACCGCGCATCCACACTGTTTTACTTACACTAAATTGACCTTATCCCAACGCCGCTGCCGCATGGCCGGAACTGAACTGTCAACCTCTCATCTCAAAGCTCCTATCTTGAATTGAACCCCACAGATGAACAGTCCAGTCTGACATGTGCGGTGTGCCCATTTGCAAGTGATAGATGGCCGTACATACTGTGTATAGACTTCGTTGCGAGGCTGGCACGGTTCGTAAAACTTTTGAAGCAATTCCGATGTTGATGAGCGCGGGTGTAGTGTATGAAAATTGCAGTGTTCCTGCCGCTGTTGCTGCTCCTAGCTCGGTCGGGTGTGCAAGTCGTTAACGTCATCGGCCCACCAAAGTGGTATCACGTAAAAAACACCTGGTACGAGGTCATTACAGACCGTGTTATCACCTACTTACATACTATCCAATGACATGCTGTTCCCTTGGGCGACTGATGATCTTTGCTGTATCCCAACTGATTTTGTTCGGGGTGTCTGTGCTGCTTTGTTTACACAGTAGTGTGGTGTACACCATCGTCATGTTGGGCTCCCGTCCGAGGCTCGAATAATTCCATCTCGTTTTGTAAGGACTTGTCCAGAATCTTTCGCTCACTTTGCATAATTCGCTGCTCCACTACTCCGACCACCAGCGATTGCGATGAGTGTCGTCGGCCTAGGCGGCTCAATTCCGGAAGAGTACCAGGGTATAGTCATTAGGGGCACTAGACTGGTCCGTATATACTCTACTTTCCTTAAGCTGAAAGTACTGACTGTATCTCCGTAATTATTATATATACAAACGTAAATTATAGATATATATTTATTACATTTGTATATCATAGTTATATAATATAATACTAGTTGTATATGATATGTACAATATATAATAATTTAAATTTTATACTATTAACTATAGTACTTAATTATCGAATATATTAAACTAGTACTAAGAAACTCAGTACATCTAAGAGTATAATTCATCGTAATCTTATTTCTTCTTCTATAGTAAAAACTTCTATTAAGACTATTCTATAGCCAAATTTAATACTAATATTCTAATAATTACCATATAATTATTATATAAATATTATATATCCCGTATATAGATCCTACTTCTTAGTAGGCGATGGGTTAATATTATTAGAGGGGGTAAAGTATTTAATAGCGGATTTAGTAATCCGCAGGGTATAAATACTTAGGTTAATTTAAATATAAGTATTATTAATATATATTTTATATATTACCTATTGTTAATAGAAATACTTATTTAGTTTTTCGGGTAATATAGAGTAATAATAATTAAAGGACCCGTATTTATAAAAGTATTAATTGGAGTCCTAGGTAGGAGGGTTATATTGTGTGTAGTATTAATAATATAATATACTAAATTTGGAGTAATAGGCCCTAGGGTATTAAGAGGCTCGGGGGTGGTAGTAGGTAATTTAAGAGCGGTGGTAGGCAGTTTAGGGGCGGCGGCGGGCGGTTTAGGGGCAGTGGCAGGCAGCTTAGGGGTAGCAACGGACGGCTTAAAGACGGCGGTAGGCAGCTTAAAGGTAGCGGTAATATTCTCCTTATACTCTTCTTTATTATCTTCCTCCTTATTATCCTCCTTATTATTATACTCTTTATTATTATACTCCTCATTATTATTCTTATTACTTTTACTACTATCTTCGCTAATAGGTTTACTATTGTTCTTTCTATCTATATATATATTTTTATCCTTATTACTATTAATAACCTAAGGGCGGTTCTATAATAAGTTAATATATATATTTATTATATATATAAATTAAGGTAATTTACAACTATCTTAGGACGGTACTATCTAATAGTAGGCAATTAAACGAGAAAATTAGTATATACCTTTTATATATCTTTAAACCAATAATATATTACTTCCTAATTATTAGCCTATATATAATTATAATAGGTTATAGGTAGCGAATTGCTATATCGAATAAGAGAAGGCTCACGTCGAATTAATCTCTTTTCTTCGTATTACTATAAGTAAAAGTATAAAGTATTAATAATAATATATAAATATAAAGGGGTTATAATAGGAATAAATAATTATAGTGAGGAATTTATCTTATAAACAAAAAATTAATTATAGAAGCCTTTCAACTACCCGTCAAACCTAGTAAGTTCTTCCAATTTAATACTAATCCTATTTAGAATTTAAATATTAGTAGGAAAGTAGTAAAAACTATTATAACGCTACTATCAGGTTAGAACATATTAAATTAATATACTATAGAACTATAATTAATGAAAATAATATATAAGAAATATATACTAAAATATATAAGGGAAGGTATATATTTATAGCCGGCGAGCGTTTCTATATCAGTAATATAGGCTCTATTAATTTCAATGACAACCGTAGGATAAATATTCTAAAAGTGCCGGCGCATTTTTAAAAATATTAATAAAAATTAATTAAATATATATTATTACCGGCTAATATAAAGTATACTATAAGTTAGAAAATTATATTATTTATAATAACAAATCTATATTACCGGTTAGAGCCGACGATAATAAGATAAATAGTACTATTAACTTTAGAAATAATATAGCACGTCAGATTTAGGGTATTGAAAGTATCTTCCTTCTTTAAATTGCTCTTATAACTTAATATATATTAATATATATTTCATGTAAATAAAGGTATAAAAGAATAAACTTTACCTTCAATTTTTATAGGTAGAATATAGTTTAGATTAGGGTTCTCTACTAGATTATAAAAATATCCGTATGTAAGGTATAGGTTATTAGTATAAAATCCGTCCGTATATACTATTATAATATTTTATTAGTATATATTCTATTTATAAGGGTAAAATATAATTATTTATAAACGTCCGCTATTGTTAAACTCTATAACTAATTTATTATTTTATTTATAATTAGGTACACTTATAAGGCAATTCGCGTATTTCGTTCTATATACAAATCGAAATTAGATTATAAATAAGGTAGAAGAGTACGAGCGTATAGAATATTTATAAGAGGAAGGATATTAATATAAATAATATAATTATTTCCCTACCGACTATTAATTACTTACGTTTTAATTTATAATATAAATTATAATAGTATAATAGAAATCTATATATATAAGATAGGAGAAATTAAAAAGAAAGAAATTAATTTAAATATAAAAGAAAATAAAGAAAGGAGTAGCAGCTTATGAATAGAATTTAATAAATAAATTAACTATTTACTTTACCTTTATTCCAAATAGGAGTAGTAAGTTTATAACTATATTATATTCTAATTTTATATATTTTATAATATAAAAATCCATAGAACTAAATATTATAATAATTTATTTTCATTCTCAAATTAAAAATTGTAGTACTTTTATTATTTACTTCACTTTAATATTCTAAATAGGACTTAAAATATTTATACTACGAATAATACTTTATCCTATATTTTTTAATAAAATAATATTAAAACTAAATAATAGTTACTAATTTATATATTATTCTATTATTTCGTATATCTTTGTATATATATTATATATATAGATATACTATTTACCTATAATTAAGCTCTCCGCCGAGATCTCGGATATATAACTATTAATATATCTACTATACCCAAATCTATTTTAAACTTTATTCCAAAATTATTTTCTATATAAACCAATTTAATAGTATATATAATTATATATTGTTAGAGCCTTTATTTACATTCTATAGTACGTACTTGGATATATAATTAGTATATATAAACCTACTCCTTATTGGAATCCAATACAATAGTATTCCTAAACTTATTAATAGTAGTAGTAACTTTAACCACCGTATTATTAAATTAGGTAATATACTCCTTCAACCTCTTAACCTCCGCTTTAAAATGGCGGAAAATAGGGGCAGAAGCAGGCGCTATATTAATTTCGAGAAAAGTAGTAATATTAACCCTATATATAATTAAAATTTTATTTATTATCACTACTAATAGAAATAAGAGAATTTATACTGGAGAAATAATATAACTTTCCTCTACTAGAATAAGTAAACCTTTAGTAATCACTTTTATAGTATACTATTTTCTATAGCGTCTAATATAGTTAATATATAGCAAAGTATCCTAGGCGTTACGCGCTTTAACTAAGTATAATAGTACTAGAATGCACTACTAATAGTTCGCGACCTTATATAGCCTATATATAATACTTAGAATAATACGGGTATAATATAAGCTATATTCAATATAGCGCTAGTAATTGCCGTCTGCGGAGGGAGGCGTAAGGGTATT